ATTAGTATCTTTTTTGACACTTAGATTATGCGAAAATGTTAGTTTTTGCTCAATATGTTTTTTCTCGATATTCTATCAGATTTTGATAATTTCTGATAAATAAATATTCAAATTTACTGCGTCCACGAAAATGTTGTAGCGTAAGTTCAAAAGAAAGAGGAAGTTGCCAAAATTGTTCTGCCAAAGCTAGACCCCACTCAAAATGTACTTTGTGCAATGTTTATTTATGTTGTAATGAAAGAAAGAACTGTTTTTGTATACTGAAAATATATTTTAATGCTTGACGGTACTCTCAAGTACCATTATCCCCCTGGAATGGGGGGATTGCATATTTTGCTAAAATTGATTCCAAAGGCCTCTACTGAATGTATTTTGATAGCGTTTTAATTCTGCCACAAAGTTTCAACATTTTTGACTTCTTGGGACACAAAGGGTTAAAGATGATCATCAGATCAACAACCTTCACGAATACATAAATAGGCTGCACCCCAAAATTAATTTTACAGTGGAAACTGAATCGAAAACCAGATCAATTTTTTCGATTTCACACTTAACGTTGTCAAAATAAAATAAAATTTGATATATACAGAAAACCTACCCAAACCAGTACTATTATACCATATGATTCGTACCACGATCACAACCAAAAATTTGCAACTTTTAGATCGTACATACATAGAGTCTTCACCTCGAATCTATATAAGAACAACAAGAAATACAAAAGGAATTCCAAATTATCCAACAAATTGCTACCGAAAATGGTTTTAGACACCAACAAATTAAAAGACTAGAAAAAACAACTTCTCTTCACAACACAAAAAACGCAGAAACTACTACAATATATATACAACAACAATATAATAATGTCTTTCAAGAAAAAGAACACCATTAGAAATTTGTTGATTAACAACAAAGACAGAACACCTCTATTATCCAAGAGAGGAGTTTATATGTTACAATCTGATACATGTTCAGCAACATATATAAATGAAACTGGGAGAAGCCTGCAAACCAGAATTAAAGAACATAAAGTCAGCCCAAAATCCAACTTCGTTAGACATTTAACCTTCAATAACCATGTGTTTCAAAAAGATAAAAATGTTAAACTTCTACACCAATTAGAAAAGAGCTACTTCATGGAAATTATCGAATCTTACGAAATTAATAGCTTTATCCTGAAGAATCCATTTCCTAAACTAAATAAATACAATTCAATTAAAAATTAATAATATGTGCAAGTGAACGAGAGAAATGAGCTTGGTGGCGGCCCATTTTCTGCACCACTTACACCCCACGCCCCTTAAACTAAACTTATTAGTTATCTACTTTACCCACAATTCATCTTGTCACTGTGAACTTGAATTTAACCTCTAATATCGAGACTTGATTTATAAATTCAATGTTTAACAACAGTTTTATTTTAATGATATCAAGTTCATTCTAATTAACTAGTTAAGAACCTTTGTTTGCAGATATCTTAATGTGAATATTGTATATGTTTTGCAAAGTTTTAATGTTGACGTGAGTTTAATTTTTAAGTTTTTTTATATACATTATTTTCAATGCTACTTTAACCTTAATTTTTTCTAATGTTACTATCTTATATTTTTGTACATTGTAGGGTCTAATCTACTGATGAAGAGCAGGGCCCGAAACCAGGATAAATTAATAAATTATCACCAAAATATCATTACATAATTTTTCTTTTAAAATATTAACACATGGTGAAAATGGATATATCCTATTACAATAATATAAATATTGTTATCAAGAATTACCTTGTAGCCTATGCTGAGAAGTTGAGTTCCAGCTTTCATACTATCTCAAAGACTTCCGATTTGCTCTTGATCCATCTTTGACTATTCTTCGTAGTCTTAAAGCCTCACAGATGCCTAAGGCAAACATTTCTTCGAGAATCAGGTACCATGAGAGATGCCTGAAAAAAGAAAAAGAATACTTTAAAGATGTTAAATGATACTAGATTACAATGTTTATTGATTAAGACAGCATTGAGGCTTGTTGGTGTATCCCAAAATGGTAATTATTGGTCAAAATCACCTCTGGGTTATTAGAGAAAGCAATGATAAATTAGTAACAACAAAGGAGATGTTTACCATAAACTTCGAATACTTTTGACAATATAAAAATCTTATTGGTGTGTATCAAAATGGTATTAATCGATTGGAAACACCTTCAGATTACTTGAAGAAGCTAAGATAACTTAATAATACTAAAAAAATATTTTGCAGAAAGTTCAAAAATTTCTGAAAATGAAAAAAAAACTGATTGGTACCAACGAAAATTGTTCTAATTGATTAAATACAACTTTAGAAGAATGTCAGAATTAAAAAATGATATTGTGAAGTTGTTACAAAATGTTTCAAAGATACCAGGAAATAATAAAAGCTTGTTGGTGCATATCAAAATGGTACTAATTGATTGAAAACATATTTAGGTTATTTCATGAACCCAAAATAAGTTGATAACACTGAAGGAATTGAATACCTGCTCAATGCGCCTCACCTCCATGTGTGCAAATGATTTAAGTACATTTTCTCTAATGTTATTAAAGACTTAGACGTTCGTCCGAGTCCTTTACTAACGCATTGCCTATAATTTCTATGTAAATAGTATTTTGTGTTTCAGAAGCACTGTTTGGAATCCTCACTATGTTATTATGTTAATAGAATAGAGAGAGTTTAGATTAGGATTATGAAATACCTTTCCTATCGATTTCGGCATCCTTATACAAATTGTGGCATGCAGTTATGGCATTATCTTCTCTCAAGAATTGACTTGCATGTTCCTCCTTGGTTACGATATGATTTCTTATTTTACGCACCAACAGCTCAAACCAGTTCTTATAAGAATTCTCTGAAGTAGATCAACTTAGGTTGGACATAATTTTAGACGTATTATTCGAAGCGCCATACTCAGATTTATACCCAGATAAGTTTTTTGTTAAGTTACATATCTATATTGTAAAGTAGCTCCTAATGGGACTTGTCCTGTCGTTACCTCCATGCATAAATAAATAAATAATGATCACACAGTCTTTCAAATGCCTTTAAAAGAAAAGATGAGAGGCTAATTGGTCAAAAGGCTTTAAGATCCCATTCTTTGGTATAAAGGTTACTGTAACCCTCCTCCAGCTGATGGACTCATAGTTAAAGGCTAAAGAAGCTCTAAAAACCTTCATCAAGTGTGTTTTCATATCTTTTAGGCTCCATTGAAGAAGAGCAGGAAGATACCATCGAGTCCAGGTTGGATCAATCAACTCGTTCTGTACAATACATATCTGCTAGTCATGTCTTGTAGGAGAGTTGTTTAATTCCACTTGGTGTAGAAGCATTGAAAAATCTTGCAGAGAACCTGGAAAATTAACATCCATTAGTAAAATGATTCTTCTGGATCTTTGGCAAAACTGCTCTCGTTCTTTTTTAGAATAGTGATAGAGAGATAGTACAGGGTCCGGCAGTAATAAGGAAAGATTTAAAGTACGGTTTGCAGCGCGCCGCGAAGTGATGGGGAAGAAAGTAGCCAACTTGCCAAGACCTGCATAATTTGCCATTTAGTTTACAATGGAGCGTTGATTACGCAGTTAAAGCCTATTTTCAAAACGGTCCATATTTTTTTGAAAATGAGGCTGAAAATGCCGTTACCATTAATTCTGTACGATACGTTGCAATGATTCAGAATTATCTCACACCACAACTTGAAGGCCTTGCAGGGAATGAAGACACACTTTTTCAACAAGACGGGGCAACAAGTCACACTACAAGAATTTCAATGAATGCTGTATTTGCTTTGAAACGGCGATATCAGTTGGCCCCCTCGCTCTCCCAACCTAACCCCCTGCAACTTCTTTCTTGCAGAGTTTCTTTATGCAAAACTTTTAGACACGACTCCTAGAATGCATAAATTTGAGGAGGATATTTGGCGGATGTAGTATTCAAAAAATAATTTTTTTGACTTTGTAAACCAAATTATGGCAAATCATGCAAGTCTTGGCAAGTCGGCTACTTTCTTCGCTACCTTAAATCTTTCCTTTTCACTTCCGAACCCTGTATTTCGTTAAGGCAAAAACCTCTCCAGCCTTGTCGCTTCTTTTGACGTACCAGACGCTTGAATTCTGACTGGTGAGTTTTAAACACAGTCTAGTTTGTTTTGCTTTATTAAAAACCTTCTTGTAGGCGAACCTCAGTGAATGGAGATGGGAGATCTTTCACCTTCACTCTTCTCTCAGGAGATGCACTGTGGAAAGCCTGAATCAGTGTGTCACAAAAACATCCCTACGATACTTAATGAGGCATTTGAGACACTTATGGGTTCTTAATTCCATCTTTAAGATACAGTAATCAAATTTTTTTATGTCCATCATTTTTTGACATAGCTACTTGTATACGAAATTCCAAGTCTACCTCATTTTCAGGTATTCTAACGTGCTATTTCAGATCCTCACACGATTATTTCCTTACATTGTCAGAAATCTGTTCAAAAACACAAGGGTCCACAAATTTTAAATATGTCACGTTATGCTGTAAATGTTATTATGTAAAGTTACAAAAAAATTCTAAATATTCATTTATCTACCTCTGACATCCTCAACCCATCCTACGTTTTTTGTTAATATATTAAACCAGTCTAAAAAAAATCATTCTTGTTGTAGCGCCATCTCTTAATGGAAAGATTCTTATTTTATTTCTAGGGTACTAATTTAGCTTGTAACGATTTCTTTACTTTATTTTTATTTCTATTCACAAATAGATGGAGCTCCACAAAACGATCAATTTTCCACAATCAAGATTTCATCCTAAAAATTTATATACAAAGGTTGAAATTAGATAACTAATCTTACTCAAAAATTTTATTTCTTACATAAACTTACGCACATAAAACAACAAAAGAAAATCTTGTAACATTCCATATTATTTATGTTGTTGAAACAATTATGAAAATAATAACCTTTCCTAAGTTATCTTGAGATTCAAACACACCACAACGGTAATCAAATATTTAATAGTTACAAAAAAAAAACAAATTGATAGATAACAATAGGTATACAAAGTAATTTACATTTACATGTAAAATATATTTCTCGAGAGCGTCATGGATAAATTATTTAATAAAGACCTACTGCTCAAAATAAGTACTAAATAAAAATTATTAATTAATATTTTCCAAGGTATTTTCCTAGAGGTGTTGCCACATCGTTGGTAATATATTGCTGATATTACTCGATTCGATCGAACGTGCAATTTCCTCGTGAATCGTGTGATTCAACCACATGTTTTGGAACTTTTTGTACAAATCTTGGCTAAGTTTTAGAGGGTTACCACGTTTCAAACCTTGATCTGTTTCTCCATAATCGTCTAAATACGGCGGTGCTAACAACAAACCGCGATTTGGGCTGGCTAAGAATAAAATTTCACAATCCCTTATACGCAAAAAGATACCAACTCCAGCCCCACATTTATACGCGTGATAATTACAAGCTCCAACAACAACTTTGTTTACCTCAGTTTGACAACAATAGTTTTGCGAACAAAGAATTTCCCCGCAAACTAAGCACATCGTAGGATTTCTTGAATCATCATGATCCCTGTTTGGGCAAGTAAACGAAGAAACCGTGTTAATTAATTCGCTGTAATCGACTGGTAATTCTACCAATTTGTTTATAGCTAAAGGTTCTAAAGGTTGCGGTGCTGGTTTTTGGCAAGTTAATAAAGATTTTAATTCGGGGTGTTTTAACCAATTATTAACTAAGTAAAGTACTTTATCTTCTATAAATAAATCGTTAATATCAGTTGGTAATCCCAAGTATACGCAAATATTTTCGTAAGTATCACCTCCAACTTCAGTTAGAATTTCCCCTGGGGGGTGATCAGTTAGATGTTGATACAATAAAACCATACAACGTAAAAAGGGGATACACGCCCTTTTAATTTCGTCGTGGTAATATTTCCAATCATCGCATTCTTTCGTTAATATCGAAATAATTTTAGGTGTATAATCAATAACTTCGCCGTCTACTTCCATTGATCGATCGCCGTCATTTAAACTTTTTAATACTAAGATCTTAACGATATGAACGGTTAAAAGTAACCTAGCAGTGTGTAATTCTAAAGTTCCTCCGGTTGGTATACACAAATTTTTGCCACTGGTGAAAATACTAGGCAAAGAAAATGTTAATGAGACTAAAAATCCAAAAGAATCCCATTCAAGAATCGATGGATCATCTTCACGACACGCTATTAATAAAGATAGAAGTTTCGCGGCGTGCGATGCTATCACTTTATCGGTCAAACAGGTATTTCCTAACACAGCCATAACCCTAACGAGAGATTCAATACAATCTCGATGTCTGCTCGATAAATTCCCCAATAAAGGTTTATTTGCGTCACGCAATATCATTTCAATAGTGTGAATCGTGTAGGCGCATGATTTCCAAGCCATTGGTGCTATTCTGCGGTCATCTGGGTGTGATCCAACATTTAAACCTCTTGTATACGGCGCTTGGGCGTACAAATCGATTATTTCTTGTAAATTATCCGATAACTCAACAGAAGAAATCGGGAATATTTCTTTAAAGCTTTCTTTTTTATCACCTAACGATTGCAATTCTTCAAAATTCGGTGGTATACAAATTTGGTGCATTCGATCCTCGCAAGTTTCGCCGCAATCTAAATAATTTCCTATATTTTCGCATTCCAAACAAGGGTTACTCGCGGTTTCTTTGCAATGAAACGATCCGTGGCAAGTCCCTTTAGTTTGGCGTACTATATCGTTAATGGCCGTTAACCATTCGGAAAAATTAACGGGTTCCCCTTCTTTGGAGGGCGAATGAAAATTAGTTAAAGAAGGTAAAAGGGGAATAGCCGTGTTGCTTAAACATTCGCAAAGAGGACATAAAAATTCTTGTTTTTCAATATCAAAACTAGCGGGGTGTCGTAATCTATATGGTCTTCTGTTTTCTTTTTGCATCACATTTACGAAGTAGCGTTGCCAACAAGCGCTGTGCATAACATGGCCGCAAGTGCTTGTGTATGGGGCGGGACCTAAATCTGAATTTAAAAATAGTGGGTCCCCACAATCGTGTTCTACGTTTCTATTTCGGCATAAAACCGTTGCTTGGTGTACGAAAGCGGCTAAAACTAAAGCAGGCCCTTCCGCGGTTACTTTTTGTTCTTCTTGGCATAAAATACAAACGTAGTATTTATCAGGAACTGAGGGTATTTTTTTGTGTTTTCCCAACAAAGCGGTGTTGTTGTTTTCGAGTTTTTCATCGATAATACTAGAGGGTTCACCCAATTTTATGTTGGATTGTTCTTTATCGGTTAATTCTGAATTAGTTTCTTGAAATAATTTCGCGTGTTCTTTAATAAACGAGTTTTGCATCGCGGCCATTTGGGCCATAATTTTCTCGCGTCTTTGCGCGGCTAATTTCGCCCTGCGTTCTTTTTCTTTATCCTCTTTTTCTTGTTCGCTCTCCATCGAGATTTGTTCGGATACCACCTCAACGTTCTTCCCGACTTGTTTATATAAATTTAACGTCCACTTAATTAGATCTTTATGGGCCTCAACTCTCGGACTTTTCGATAACTCCTCTAATAAATATTGTAGTTTGTATTTAACGGATTTTTCGCTAAATATTAAAAACGGGTAATAACCGGTTTGTTCTTCTTGCAAAGCGTATCCGATTAGGTGAAGAACTTTGTGGAGTTGTAACTCGGAGAAACTCACGGCGCGTAAATTCACTGATCGCTCTAAAACTGTTTGCATGATGTGTAACATTACGTCGCATTGTAATAAATTTACGATTAAACTGAAGTTTTCGCTTAATTTTGGGAGTTGGGGTGGGGGGCAACATTCTAATTCGCCCGCGGCTTTGCGACGCTTTCTTTGTGCCTCCTCGGATTTTGAAAGTTCTTCTCTTGTGTAGTGATAAAAGAAAATGTTGTATTGTTCGAAATAAGGGTCTTTTAATTCGTAAACGCCTTGCCCGGTTCCTTGGGTGGGTTTTTTAAATTTCGCGATGTCATGGGTCACATCATCGATTCCGGTGTCGCGGGGAACGATGTTTTCAGGGACTATTTTGTATAATTCGGAATGAAGTAAAGGTTTGATGCATAAATGTTGGATGATTTCTTTTTTGATTCGTTCTTGTTGCGAAACTTTGCTAATCCCGGGAACCCAACGCTCCCCGATTATAACGATAAGTAATTGAAGGAATTCTTCAACAAGCGTGATTGTTTGTCGAATACTATCTTCTTCGCTTTGTTTTGGGTTACCACTTTCGAAATTTAAACTCGCCCATTGGCACAAATTATATTTATTTAACAAGTGTATCATGAAATCGTTACTTTCAATTAACGTAGCCCCAATTTGCAACAAAATTATATCCCTATCTAACATCTCACTTCGACACTTCGCGTTATGATAAAAATAAAGTTGATTTAATAACGCGTAACCGTTTCTTCTCCACATCCCGGCGTGCACTTGCGCGATCATAACTTGGGTTCGCAAAACCGGCTCAATAATCTCAACGGGAGTCGGCTTATCGATTTTAAATTCAGCCCCATCAAAAGACAAGTTATATTTTTCCAAGTGTAAGTGTAACCCAGCCAAAAATCTCGATAAAGGGAGATGAATCGAAACCGGTTTTGACGCAACATCGTAATGAAGACAGGTCACTGTATGATCGGCTAATTCGCGTATATCAAGACTCGTAGAGAGCTCATTACAAGGATGATCGTGTAATTGTTTCAAAGTTAATCGATAAGCTTTAATCAAAACAACCCGATCACTCCCACACCACTCCAAAGCCAAAGAAATACAATAAGCGAGTTTAATGTGTAAATTAAAAGCGGTTTCCCACTCTGGCTCATACTCCATGTGTTGCCCAACTTGTCGCACGACCGAATCCATTCCTTGCATCATCGTTAATAACTTTAATAAAAGCGATAACCCTTGCAAAAAATTAATGCGTAAATCGTCGCTCCATTCCTGCGGAACCGAACTTAATAAATATCGCAAATCATAAAGCATGTATTGAGCCCGTTTAAACGTTTGGCTAGTCGCGTTTCTTTCAAACTCGAGTTTACCGTTTTTATTGCATTTTCTGCTACACTCCGAAATGAAAGTGTTCAATAAAATAAATAGAGCGTCGTCGTTTGCAATTAAATGATGAGCGATCGTTGGGACGGTGAAAATTTGCACCGAAAGTGACGAGATTGAAAAGGTGTGTTCGTGATCGTCTTTAATAAAATCTTTCATGACGTTTCCAAAGTTTTTCATAAAAATTTTCGCGAAAGCTTTTTTATTTTCGTACTCTAATAACATCCCGGATATAATTAAAGTGTGCCAATGCGTTCTCGCGCTTTTCCACAGTTGAGAATCGCGGAGTAAAATTCCTTTAATTATACACGGATCCGCTTGTTGTGGTTTTAAAGCGATTTCAGAAAAAATCGATCGAAATCCTTCGCCGTGCCCCAAAAATGTTTGCAACCACGATAAAAGTTTCATCGCAAAAATTTGATGGGCCACAACGTGAGCGTGAACAACTAAAACTTTTAACGGTTTATTCCCATGTCTTGAGGTGTATTTCTCAATTTCAGATTTTAAATTACTACAATGTTGAAAATCGGAACATTTAACGATAGCTCTACCTTCCCTATCGATATTTGTAACGTATTCAATTGCAGTTCTTTGTGGGCATTTAATAACGCGATTTAATGTGCTAATAACTTGTTCGAAGGTGTGGCTTTCGTCGTTATACAAAACCGTACAATATGCGTCGAAAAGATCGTCTTCATCTAGATTTGATTTTAATCCAAAATCGGCTGAATGTTCCAGCGTTAATAAATTATACGCATACCATAAAACAGCATCATAAACAATTCTCGTTCTTTCAACCAAACTTTCCGGAAGTTGTACGTGTAATTGTTCATGTTGAAGTCCTAAAGCGTGAGTTTCACAATATGGATCTTTCTTCCACGCTTCGGTATCGCCACAATCGCAACAACCCCCACCGCACGAAGCCCCCATCTTGTATTTGTGATTTCGATGCTCGGATTTTTTGAAACAATTAACGCACAAAACGCACGTGTTATCCATCCCGCATTCTCTACAACTATAAGTTGGCTCGCCGTGTTTAAAAACGCGCCCGCAAACCGACGGTTTTTTATCTTTCTCCGTTAATTGTTGCCAAACCGCGACCGGATCTCCATTACAAATGAATTCTTCTAAAGGTTGAAATAACTTTCGGGATGCTTCGTCTTCGTTAAAATTAAAATGAAGGCAATTATCGTTCATCCCAGGACTGTAAAGGCGAGGGACCCAAGTGCGCCAATACTCTTTGAAGTGCGAACTTGATAAAACGCCTTCTTCAAACTTTTCCATCCATTTCTTTACTATTTCTTTCGTTACCATTTCTTGATCTGATATCATCTCGACGTCGACTATATCGTCCATTTTTTATTTTTTCTAAAACAAAATTTAATTTAATTAATAAAAAAATTTTTTTATTGTATTTACTCATTCAATAAACAAATATTTAAATTAACCTTTGTTTCATTTATTAAAGTACACAAAGTATAAATAAATATGTAGTGCTTTCACACCAAAGTAGGGTATTATTTATAATTTGTTGCGAAACATTAATCTCGCAGCGTGCGATTAATAGATCAAGTTCTACCAGTTTATTTTTTTACGACTTGGAGTGAAACCAACTTAAAAATCTTTGAATATTTGATTTATAAATTTAAAACTAAAAACACTAATTTACAAGAAAAATCTCGAAGACTGATATTTTTTTTATAACGTAGAATGTTGTGTTGATTCTGAAACTGTCTTCAGTTTTTCTTCATCACGTCTAGTTTTTGAGATATATCCAAAATTAATAAAATTATTACAAACAACTTTTTTTAATAAAGAGGTATTTTAACTGTTCCAGGCACTAAGTACTAATGATGGTATAAAGTTGCAAGTAAAAATGAAATTAGAATATAAAAATAAAACACAATTTATGAACTTTACACTTGCAGAGATTATTTAATTTCTATCGGAACCGGTTTCGAAGTTTATAACTTCATCTTCAGCCGAAAATGTCAGAAAGTGAACCCAACAGGTATAATCATTTGAAATTTGAAATGTTGAAAAATTTGTTAAATCAGCAAATAATAGCAAGAATATAAAATATGCGTCGTTAAATTTGTGGTGCAAATGCGTGGTGCGTTATAACAACATTACAATGAAATGTTACAGCAAATGAGGTATTAAAGATTAGATGTCTCTGTCTGTTCTTGGCGGAGCGAGAAGAAAAGACTCAGGAGCGTTTTTGATTCATTGATTTTGTTGAGTTGTTTTAGGTTGTAGCAAAATAACGAAGAGTCCGATTTATGCCATCAATATCTCAAAATGTTCATCTGGATCTCTACTTCCATGTTCATATAGCTACAGAAGCACACTATGCAAAATAAAAAATATACTGAACATGAACCATTACTATGCTTTTTAATTAACGATTTTCTACGTTTTTGGGTATATCTCGAAAACTGGACGTGATGGAGAAAAACTGAAGACAGTTTCAGAATCAGCACAACATTTTACGTTATAAAAAAATATCACAGTCTTCGAGGCAAAAATTGATTAAAATTTGTAAACTACTATAATTAATCTAATTAAATTAATTACGCAAAACTAAGCGGATAAAGAGATAGAGGTTCAAACATCCCCGTGATGTAGTCCAAGATAAGTAAATCGTAATCTACAAGATACACAACAACACAGTGAGAGGCTTCTATCAAGTACTGATAAACTGTAATAACAGTTATATAACATTTACTTTCTCACGGTTTTATTCCTCCCACCACTTTTCCGAATACATATTTAAAATTAGAAGTGAATATAACTCAAACCAATTCCTTGCAAGTCAATAATTTCTAAAACGCAAAAATTAATCCCGTTTATTACTAAAGAAAAAAATTTTAGGTGTGCAATTATCAAATTAAAAAGGATTTGAACGAGAGATGCAATTGAGAGTTCATTCAACTCGTCTATAAAATTTACAATTTTTTGAAAAATCGAATTCAAACTTGAAACATTCACAATTTATAAAAGAAGGTATGTACTATTACATAAACAAAACTGTGCTTGAAAAACTTTATGCATTTTTGAGATAATAATTATTGAACTGAACCCCAATTACACAAAGTTAATATTCTTATTAAATTATATTCTTATACGATTTATAAAAAAAAGTATGTATAGGATGTCCCAAATTCGTTGTCCGAATAGGCTATCTTCGAACCTAAAAGAGATAGAAAAAAAGTAGCTTACGTTATACCTTCGCATTCATTCTAAAAAATTGTAGTATATTTTAAAAAATAACGTTGCTTAATGATAACCATATATTAGTATTATGATAAAAAAATCAAGGACAGTAGAATCTAACAGGACAGCTACATCCAATGTTGTTTTGTAACCCACTACGGGTTGGTTGCCCGAACTCTACGTCACATTATTTGCCACGCCCAGTTAACTGTCATTGTGTTCTATGTGTTTGCTGTTGTGATTTTAAAGGTTATATGATAGGCATTAATACGTCTAAAAAACTTCAAAAATATAAAAGCTTCCCTACTCTGCACGACATGGCACCAGTATAACGTCATAGTGCAATTAAGTGTAAGTAAGTGCAAGGTTATGGCAACTGAGTGCAGGTTAGAAAAGTGTGTAAAGCGTGATCGCAACGAATAGGTTTTTATCAAAAAAGTTTATAATATTTGAAATGGACGAACAGATGAGATGAAATCATCGCAGAATGTTTTTTGTGTAGGGATTCATCCGACAGTAATGTAGAATCAATTAATATATGTTCTTATAGAGTTGTCAAGCACGTGAGGACAACCATAAAAAATTATTGCACTGAAGTAAAAATAAAACAATTTGGACATAAATAATTGATTTTATCTCCATCTTCATTTATTACAAAACACGCTTCCAAATATTCCGCCATTTTAGTTACACTGAATTGCACTGCACCTATTGAACTTAATCGAAAGCAAGTACAACAAAATCTGCACTAACTTGTACCGGCTACACGAAATTGCACTGCGTATGAGTGCAACTGCACTAAACTACACTATCCCCAACATCTACACTAAACTGCATAGTGCAAGTAGTGCAGTCCCAACGAACAAAGCTAAAGATTTACTTTTGAAGTTAATATGAATACGTTTATGATTAAGTTACTTTGAGGTAGGTTAGTTTTGTTTACAAATGTCAATCAACTCTGAAAAAAATATTGGGTAACGTTATGATAGGTCAGTTTCCTTTTGTACCCCAATTATAGCGTAAAGGAATGTTAAGACTGGTAGCTCTCTTTTGAAACTCCATTAAAGCGTGAAGGAATGTTAAGACAGGTTAGTTTTCTTTTGAACCCCAATTATAGCGTGAAGACACTCCAATTAAAGCGTGAAGAAATGTTAAGACAGGTAGTTTTCTTTTGACACCCCATGAAAGCATGAAAGAATGTTAAGACAGGTAGGTTTCTTTTGAACCCCAATTATAGCGTGAAGAAACTCCAATTATAGCGTAAAGAAACTCCAATTATAGTGTAAAGGAATGTTGAGTAAGGTTAGTTTTGTTTTGAACCCCAATTATAGCGTGAAGAAACTCCAATTAAAGCGTGAAGGAATGTTAAGACAGGTAGTTTTCTTTTGACACCCCACGAAAGTGCGAAGGAATGTTAAGAGAGGTAATTTTCTTTTGAACCCTAATTATACCGTGAAGAAACTCCAATTATAGCGTGAAGAAATGTCGGTTTTCTTTTGTACCCCAATTAAAGCGTGAAGGAATGTCAAGACAGGTAGTTTTCTTTTGAAACCTCAATTATAGCGTGAAGGTATGTTAGTATAGGTCAGTTTTGTTTACGGCTGTCAATCACCCCGGAAAAAAATTTTTGGGTAAGGTTAATTTTTCATAATTTTCGAAATTCATTGTAAAATTTTTAGCAATCGATTGCTATGGCGGTAATTAGAGGGGCGTGGATTGACTGTTAGCGTCAAAATTGACGTGTTACATGTCTACTTCCCATACTAATGGACTGCTACCAAAGCTACTTTCATCGTTAGTAGCATCATATGTAAAGCCGACGTTACACGTAGCAATCGACTGCTATGGCAGTAACTACAGATGGGAGTGGTTTGACTGTTAGCGTCAAAATTTACGTGTTACGTGTCTATTTCCCATAGTAATGGACTGCTACCAAAGCTATTGTAATTGCTAGTAGCGTTATATGTAAAGTGTGGGTCACACCAGTCGCGAGTTATGGAAGCAGCTACTGCCATCAGCAGCCATCAAGTAGCTTAGTGTGAGCATAAAATTCGCCGCTGGCACCGTCTTGTGAGTATTCGTCAGCGGCTGGTGAAATTGGACATGTTCTATTTTGGTAGCCAGGCAACAGCGACTCATGAAAGTACTGAAAAAAGTAGAAGTAGTAAAGTACTGATTGTGAGTAAAACAAAGCGATACACTGTTGAACCCAAATTGTTCATCACAGTCCTGAAGAGTGCATTCAAAACAACTGGATTGGACCCAAAAAGGCATAAACTTAGGATAGCTTTGGAGATTGAGGGGTTGATAGCTGTGTATATCTTGGCTATGAGGTTCGTGTATCGAGAGATAATCAAACAAACGAACTAAACAGAAGGATCACACTCTTATGGGCAGCCTATGAGAAACTTAGAGACATCTTCAGGGAAAAGGCCAAGGAAGGCTTTCAATCAATGCGTGTTTCCGGTTGTGACATACGGCTCCAAAACTTTAATATTAACGATAGCCACTGCCAGGAGGGTCCAAGTAACGCAAAGATAGAGGGAGAGGTCGATCCTGAGTGTAACTCTGAAGGACTATATACGAAATGAAGAAGAAGTGACGTAAATGATGTGGTCAACATTGTGGCAAAGCTTAAGTGGAACTGTGGACAAGTGGACAAAACGGTTGCTTGAGTGGAGACCGTAAGCGAACAGACGAAGTAGACGTCAAAAGAATTACCAACAATTGGATTCAGACAGCACAGAATAAAATCGAATGGAACAGAATAGGGGAGGTCTATGTTCCAACAATGGACGCAGAGGGCTGCTTGATGATAATAATCATAATAAGTTGATCTAATCTAAATTACGACAGATTCGTCTGATAATAACACGTCTTTGATTGTTGATAATTCCTCGTATTCAACGTCCATTTCATCATCTTAATCTTAATTTTTTTTTGGAATCTGATATATTTTCACTGGTATCAGTTTTATACGCACTGTTTGTGTATTTACCCTGTGTCGGAAAAATACCCATTTTAGAAATGCCTACCTGCCGAATATTTACCCAGCGCCTATCACTGATAATCTCTGATTGGGGTTCAGTTGGCAGTGATGCTCGTTAAGTACTTCTAAACTAAGCACACTCACACCCACCCTTAACAACTGCTTAATTAATTGTTAGAGTGGACCCACAGACGATATGGTTGTTGAAAGCGACTAAACGAAATAGCAGGCAGTGTGACCGAATTGCCCGTGCTGCTTACAGTGCTACTGCCCGCCGCTGATCAGCAGCCTAGTCACAGAATAACCAGAAGTGACGCTGGATGTATCCCACCAAATCTGTCGCCATATTGTTGCGAGGAAGCAAGGTATTGCTGCTATTGGTGGTAAATTAAGTTGTTACAGTGCCATTCACAGAGGTCATAAAACGAGACGCCGCATCAAATAAATCGTCAGTGTCATTTCTGGTTATTCTGTGGCCTAGTGTGACTCGCGCTTAAAGCCGACGTTACACGTAGCAATCGACTGCTATGGCAGTCACTACAGAGGGGCGTGGTTGACTGTTAGTGTCAAAATGTACGTAATATCTATTGCCATTATAATGGACTGCTACCAAAGTTACTGTCATGGCTACAACGTTTTCTACTTTTGGTATAACGTTTTACGTTAACAGTCAAAGTTCCCTAAAGTTCTCTATACAATGTTTTAATTGGTAACTGCATCTTTGGTAATAAGCTCATAGGGCGAAAACAAAAGACGATAGCCATAAACAAAACTGTGCTTGAAAAAAAGTTAGCAACTTTTTGCAATCATTTTTAAAAAATCGCATTCTTAAGATATCTGGATAAAACATTCACTATGTTTTATCTATTCACTAGTTTTTCTTAAAATACACTGCACTTAAAAATGTTTATTTGTTTTTACAACAATAATTATTGAACTGAACCCATTTCTTTTTGTTTTCACCAACTTAACAAATTTCTACAAACATTTTCAAAAAAATCAACACATTTTGTCATCAAAAGTATTTCAGATATTGTCAATAACATGCCAGTTCATTCATCAACTTAAAATTTTTATTCCAACCTAAATTAGAATAAGTTCTGTATTGCGCAACACAGTTTGGTGGAGGAGCTTGAAGCCATGACAAAAATTCAAAGTCCACAAAACGAATTTCCTTTGCTTTCTTTATATCTAATGAAGCTAGTTAAAGATTATAGTGCAATAGATGCTATTCTCTTCAAACAAGTTTTCATTTTAATAGATTTTAATCAAGATTTTGATTTAAAAAGACGTCTATGACTTCATTTATAAATCTTACATTCACATCTCTGCATTGTAATAATATTGAATCTTTTGTGCCATTCTTTTGTAACAATATCAGTACACTTAATTAATAATTTTTGTATATATTTCAATTATTTATCCAGCTTCTTGAATGCAATGGCAGTTTCAAGCCAAAACTAATTAAATTTAACTTTCATTTATATAACTAAACAAATAGAATTTAATTTTCTTTGTAATATATAGGGGTAATTGTTTTATCTACATCTATTCCATTCTATTTGGTCCCAAGATAAGAGGGTTGTTTGAAAACTCCAACTTTATTTCTAATCCAATTAATCCAAACATTGTAGTAATTATTAAGGTTCCATTTAGTATCCAAAAAGAGGTTCTCCAATATTTAGGGTTAAATGAATTTATAAAAACTTTAAACAAAACATTAACTGTAAATAATTAAAATTTAAAAATATTAAGTGATTGTGTGAATAACACTTAATGAGATTAATTGATTAAAAATTAAATAAACACTTTAATGTACTAAATCAACTTTTTAAAAGATAATTATTAATTATGAAGGTAATCTATTAAATTGTGTGGGCAATTTGAAAATTAACATATTGTGAATTGCGACAAAGGACAATTAATTGGTAGAAAGAGAGTCTACAAGGACTAATTGCAAATGAAATCGTTACACTTTGGTATAAATTAATTCCGATACGGTGGGCTATTTATATGTATACACAAAAAAATAAGATGTTTCAAAATCTTGCAAGTCAACGTAAGACAAAGGTTTATTCAAAATTATATTATTGACCCCCTCAACAAACCACATTGTCTAGGAAGTACATTGGCGTTATGTAAATCGAAGTTTTCTAAACGGCTGTTTAAAGCAGGTGAAAATGTAGGAAGTAAAATTAGACATTTTGAATGTGTCATACTCGAAATGATCAATGGAATGCAATGAGGGAATGGCTAAAAATTGTTTAAACTTAATTCTAAAAGGAAAATCGATCACGAAAACTTACTCTTTTTCCTTATCACATTAACGATTTATTTTTAACTGGCACCGAAGCAATGAAATAATAAATACGCACTTGGACGTGTTTCACTCACCTTGTGGTGTCTCCTCTTGTCTACGTCTTTACAATTACATTTACCCTGCTTTTCGAATTGTATCACCTTGATAAGTTACAATTAGCAAAGTTTATTTATTTGTTCAACGTTGATAACGAGGGTTTATTCTGTTCACTAGCAATTTTTCGTTTACTCAATAAAAACGACACGATATATGTCATATGTAGGATTTTTCTTTTAACTTACAGTTTTCGATAACCTTAAATGTCAATGATTGTGCTACTAAATGACAGATAATCGTTCAGAGCCATCTATGTATTAAACTATTAATTAATACAAAAAAAATTAATTTTATTTAATAATTTGATAAATAATTTTGAATTTAATAGTAAGATTTAAACTATTTATTATTTTAAATTAAAAATATTTAAATTTATTTACCTTGTAGTTATTTACTTGAAATGTATAACTAATCAACAAAAAGCGCCATCTCTTGGTGTAATTGATTATTAATGTTAAAAGAAATAAATTTATGAGAAATGCAAAATTATAATACGTTTTATTACAATACTTGTATAAAATCACATACTTTTTACAATATTTAATAAATATCAACAATACCAGTTGTTTGAATAATCCATATTTGACGATTCTAAATGATCGATTTTTGGTCTCCTCATCATGGGTTTTTTATTTTTTAATGATAAGTTACAATTAGCAAAGTTTATTTATTTGTTCAACGTTGATAACGAGGGTTTATTCTGTTCACTAGCAATTTTTCGTTTACTCAATAAAAACGACACGATATATGTCATATGTAGGATTTTTCTTTTAACTTACAGTTTTCGATAACCTTAAATGTCAATGATTGTGCTACTAAATGACAGATAATCGTTCAGAGCCATCTATGTATTAAACTATTAATTAATACAAAAAAAATTAATTTTATTTAATAATTTGATAAATAATTTTGTATTTAATAGTAAGATTTAAATTATTTATTATTTTAAATTAAAAATATTTAAATTTATTTACCTTGTAGTTATTTACTTGAAATGTATAACTAATCAACAAAAAGCGCCATCTCTTGGTGTAATTGATTATTAATGTTAAAAGAAATAAATTTATGAGAAATGCAAAATTATAATACGTTTTATTACAATACTTGTATAAAATCACATACTTTTTACAATATTTAATAAATATCAACAATACCAGTTGTTTGAATAATCCATATTTGATGATTCTAAATGATCGATTTTTGGTCTCCTCATCATGGGTTTTTTATTTTTTAATTTATGCCCCAACGTGATAAATATAGCTTCAATATGATCAGCTTGAGAGTCAGCATTTGCGGAAGTTTCAAAGTACTAATAAAGTAATAATTTATAAATTAATTATTTTTAGGTTAGAAATGCAATTTTTAGTTCTTACAGGCATATAATGTTCATCAGCGAATCTAATAGCAACATCAATACTAACAGCCTTTGGTAAATCGCATTTATTTCCAATTAAAATCCTAATTATATCAGCTTTCTCATCATTATAAGGCATATTTAGATTCACCTCTTCAATACACTTTTTCACTTCATCAAATGATGCTAAATCTGAAACATCATACACAAACACTATAGCATCTGCGTTTCTGTAATAACTTTTTACTAAGGAGTTTCTAAAACGTTCTTGACCTGCAGTATCCCATAATTGCAACTAAAAAATGATTTAATTTAGTATTTGGGTTTTAATACATTTTTATGTTACTTTAATTTCTTCTCCATCTAGATTTAATACACGTTGGCGATAATCTAACCCAATCGTACTTTCAGGATCTGATAAAACTTTACCTTCACAAAATCTATAACTCAAAGTTGTTTTTCCAACAAATGCATCACCAAGGACTATAACTTTGTACGTTTTAACGTCACTATCTAAAGAATTTAATACGCGGATGTTAGAGGAAGGATCCAAATCCATTTAAAATGCTTATTTTTACTTAATTGTGTTTAAACATGTTTTTTATTAAGATTATTTTTATTGTGGGTTGGTGTTGGTAGTAGTGATGTGTCAAAATCTTAAACGTCAATAATAAAAAGTTAGAAAATTAATTAAATTTGTGCTTTTAAATGATTTTTATTATTATTATTAATTCTTATTTTTAATTGTTGTATTAATTTATTAATTTTTGTAATTAATAAATAACTAATTGTTTTAAATCACATTTAGTTGGTAGTAATGAGCGTCAGTTTAACGTCAAAATAATTTCAATTTTCAAAATAAATATAAAATAAGATTAAATAAATCTAATTTTAGGCTTAAAATTCGATAAAATTGATTTTTTACAGGAATCTATTACATTACCATAAATGGGATTGAAATTGAAGTTTCCTGCTTTAGTAGCATAACAAGCAGTAGCAGGAGTAGCAGGAATGTAGTGGGAGTAAATCACGTATTAACACCTGTTAGTCAATCCTAAAGAATGCAGGTTAGTGGTGAGATCACATTACAAAAGTAAAACCACGTAAAATTACGATGGCTGAAAATGCATCTATTAAAAACGAACTACTTGCACAGGAAAGTTCCATCGCGGACAGCATTTCCGCCCCGGAAGCCCGGTTCGAGTGCCCAATTTGCTTAAATTGGCTGAGAGATCCCGTGTTAACATCCTGCGGGCATCGGTTTTGTAGGAGATGTATTCAACCTTGGTTAGAGTAAGAATTTTGATGTTTTTTTTTGAAATAATGTTAATTTTTAATGTTTATTTGAGGAGAGATAATCCCACTTGTCCCGTTGATAACATGAAACTTCAAAAAGATCACGACATCTTCCCCGATAATTTTACAAGAAGAGAAATATCGCAGCATAGAACAAAGTGTCCAAATATCGTGAGGGGTTGTTATGAAGAATTATCTCCATTAGACGTCGAAGCTCATTTAATAATTTGCAAATTTAATCCGCCCCAATTACCAGATAACGAAAAATTAAGATGTTTATTTGTTGATTGCGGGTGTGAGGAGAAATTTGAGGATGAACCCGAACGCCAAAAACATTTAGAAAAAGATATGCAAAGACATTTAACGGTATAATTTATTAATTAATTAAATTAATAAATTAATTTTTCGAAAAATTTTTTTTAGTTGATGTCTCAAACATTAAGTAAAGTGGTTATTAATAATACATCATCAACTTCAGCTTCTGCAATAGCACAACAAGCGAATTTTTGGGATCCACAACCCAAAGGCGAACAAAACTCAAATTTTACCTCAAACGAATCTATTGATGCTTTATTAAAATCTTTGTACGAAAAGATTGTTATTTTAGAACAAAAAAGCCGCGAACAAGACATTATCATTTCAAACATGTCCAATCAAATCGCCGCGACGAATTTGGCGATGTCTAAAATTGCATTGAGGCACTGCAACGGGTGCTATTTATGGTTTATTAATGATATAAAAAATAAGATTAATACAATGAGGAATAATACTTACACGATGTTTTATAGCCCAGGTTTTTATTCTTCCCCCAATGGATATAAGCTTTGTGTTCGTTTTAATTTATCAACAAGAAATAATAGTTATATAGCCGTTTTAGTTCATATGATGAAAACGGAACATGATAACGCATTAGATTGGCCGTTTAGTGGAAGAATCAGCGTTTCGATTGTACATCCAAAGTAAATATTTTTTATTTTATAATTTTTGTGATTTATTCGAGTTTTTAGCGACCCAAATAAAAATATAAAAGAAACGATGATGACCCGGCCTGAATTAGAAGCGTTTCGACAACCCGTCCAAGAATTAAACACAAAAGGCTTTGGTTACACCGAATTTGCTTCATTAGAAGACATCATAGAGCAAGGATTTATAGACGCAAATCAATTAATTATTAAAGTTCAAGTACAACCTGTGTAAGGTGTAAATATTTATTAAATTAAGGATTAAATAAAAAAAATCTTTTCATTTGTAAATTAAATGGTCGTTTATTTCCATTATTTTTTTTTTTTTAATCAAATTAACTTTGGCAGTTAACCCATTAAAAGAAAAATGCGATACAACAAATACACATGAGAAAGGAACCGAGAATGTAGTACAAATTAATTAATCAACAAGAGTATCACATGCAAATAGTATTAACAAAAAAAAAAAAATAAAAAGATTAATTATTTTGAATGATTGAAGGAATGTCCTTATAAAACAAGAAAATAATGATCGATGGATCGCTTAAACGTGGATTACTGCCTTAAAGTGGATTAAGGTGATGAAATAAAATTAAGGTTAAAAATGAAATGGAATAAATGGAGAATTCGTGTTAATTAGAGAGCGTAAAAGGAGAAAACATCCTTACGATTTAGGTTCTGCGCGAAGACATCGAACACGGATTATTGCTAACATTCATACAATAAAAATGTACTATATAAAAATCACAAACACAACTGACGTTATAATATCGTTTTTTTTTTTATAATCTATTTAAGAACAAAAATTGTTTACTATAAACTTAAAAGAACAAAGAAAAAATAAAAGATCTCTTGGTTTTGTTGAGATTAATTCTGAGATTAAATCTGAGATTAAATCTGAAATTAAATCTGAGACAATATTATTATTTTTTTTTAGATTTTGCCTTTATCTTTCATTTTTTAATATTAAAATACACATAATGATATATCACAACGGCGAATAAGCATAGACTTAATTAATTATTTAGTTAATATACTCAATAATTTTTTTTTTCTGTTGGTGAGGTTCCTTTTTGAGCTTATTTACACAGATATAATAAAAAATATAAAAGTCAGTAATATGTATACAAATTGATTATTAAAAAAAAAACTAGAAATAAAATATAATTTGCGCATAAATATAATTTACTACTTTTTAAATAACATATAAAAAAATATAAATAATGACTGGTTTTCTTTTCTATTTTTTTAAACCTTTTTCTTGTTCTATTATTGTCTATTTAAACAAATCAAAAATCTACGTGACTATACAAACTTTGGGTGAAACGGTTTAGAACTATTCTGATTTTATTTTTTTTAAATTTTATTTATTGGAGACAAGCTTGTAACTTTTCTATCCATTCTTGAGCCGTCGTTGCATCAACTGCACAAAAATTATAAGTTCTCCTACTTGTACGCAACTAAAAATAAGAATTAAAGTTTTAGTTCAATAAAAATATGCAAGAATCCAGCGATAAATAACAATTAAAACTAACACTAATACTAAATGTAGAACTAGAAACATTCTGGTTTAGCCAAACGTCTCTTAAGACGGCTAAACCTGAGTGTTTTTGGAGTTGGATAAATTCATATCTTTTTGGAAAATCGGCTGGGAATGACAAAATTTCCATAATTTGTTATTAAAAGTGTACTAATTACGATGAAATGTGTTAAATTATTATTAAAATAAAAATGAAAAAGTTGATTAAAGTGAAAATGCCGAAAAATGAACGATTTTGGAGTTGGATAAATTCATATCTCTTTGGAAAATGAGGTTGGAATGATTAAATTTCCACAGTTTATTACTAAAAGGGTGCTAATTATGGTGAAATGTACTAAATTATTATTAAAATAAAAATGAGAAAGTTGTAGGACATTAAAGTGAAAATGTCAAAAAATGAACGATTTTGGAGTTGGATAAATTCATATCTCTTTGGAAAATGAGGTTGGAATGATTAAATTTTCAGTTTGTTACTAAAAGGGTGCTAATTATGGTGAAATATACTAAATTATTATTAAAATAAAAATGAAAAAATTGTAGGTGATTAAAGTGAAAATGCCGAAAAATGAACGATTTTGGAGTTGGATAAATTCATATCTCTTTGGAAAATGAGGTTGGAATGATTAAATTTCCACAGTTTGTTACTAAAAGGGTGCTAATTATGGTGAAATGTACTAAATTATTATTAAAATAAAAATGAGAAAGTTATAAGTCATTAAAGTGAAAATGCCGAAAAATGAACGATTTTGGAGTTGGATAAACTCATATCTCTTTGAAAAATGACTAAACTTAAATAATAAATAATCATAATATAAACTTATCAATAAAATAAAAATGAAAAAGTTGTAGGTCATTAAAGTGAAAATGTCCAAAAATGAACGAAAAAAAATTTTTGTTCTAGGTCTAGTATTAATTCAATAAAAATATACAACAACATAGCACTATGTTACCTCTTAATATACCTTGAGGGTAAATTATTGCCACCTTAATTGTTAGTTTTTAAGTTAATTTAGGTTTTTCGGTTGCAGTCGTGCCTGAGAATGATTTTATAATCGAAATACACCTCGTTGTATAGCACCGATTTCACAAAATAATATAATTCATCTAAACAACCTGACTTTTATTTGATTTAATAATACTTAAGATGACCCTGGAGAGAACACTTAGATACATAAATCAGAGATATCCCAAAAACTACAAACATTGAGAGGTACTATTCTTAAAAGGATGAAAAATGAAGATAACATTAAGTTCCTACGTAGTGCCACCAATAACGAAGTAACCCCAAAATCATTCAAAATTAAAATACCCTCAAACTTCAAAGGCTACAAAATTGATCTAGAAAGAAGACTCATAAGAAAAAGGTTAAGACAGCTTTACAAATGACTTGACTCTGTTGATCTAACCATAAAAATGAAAACCCAAGTAAGACATTTTGACTGATAACAATAAAATCATTAGTAATCTAAAACACTGTAGAATAGAACAAGGAAAAAAGAATAGTCGAAACGATATAATTAAGAATAAAAATACTTGTTACATGAAACACAACTCCTCCCTACTTCTAAACAAATTTCAAATCTTAAAAACACTATCAAGAAAGAAAAATTAATAATAACGTTAGGAGACAAAAAGACTGGCGTTATTATTTTAAAAAAAGACCAATACTTACAAAAGACAGAAGATTTTTCTTAAAAAATATAATAAAATATTAAAAATTAAATCTAATCCAACCTTAAGTAAATTAAAAAGAAGGTATTGCCACTAGTAGAATAGCCGACTTTCTATATCGCAAACTTAAAGATACACTTATTTATAACTTAAACAATTCCTCAGACCTAATAAAAAAAAACTAAAAATATTAATTTTTCTAACAAATCACACCTTATATCATTTGAAATAAAAAATGTATACGCAAATCTCCCTATTAGAGTGGCTANCTTTGGAAAATGAGGTTGGAATGATTAAATTTCCACAGTTTGTTACTAAAAGGGTGCTAATTATGGTGAAATGTACTAAATTATTATTAAAATAAAAATGAGAAAGGTGTAGGACATTAAAGTGAAAATGTCGAAAAATGAATGAAAAAAATCTCGTGTTCTAGGTCTAGTATTAATTCAATAAAAATATACAACAACATAGCACTGAATCACAATTAAAACTAGAACTAACACTAGACCTAGAACTAGAAAGATACGGGTTTAAACCCAAATGTTTCTAGTTCTAGGTGTTACCTCTTAATATACCTTGAGGGTGAATTATTGCCACCTTAATTGTTAGTTTTTAAGTTAATTTAGGTTTTTCGGTTGCAGTCGTGTCTGAGAACGATTTTTTAATCGAAATACACCTCGTTGTATAGCACCGAAACAACCTGATTTTTATTTAATTTAATAATACTTAAGGTGACCCTGGAGAGAACACTTACATACATAAATCAGAGATATCCCAAAAACTACAAACATTAAGGTACCATTCTTAAAAGGATGAAAAATGAAGATAACATTAAGTTCCTACGTAGTGCCACCAATAACGAAGTAACCCCAAAATCATTCAAAATTAAAATACCACCAAACTTCAAAAGCTACAAAATGGAGCTAGAAAGAAGACTCATAAGAAAAAGGTTAAGACAGCTTTACAAATGACTGGACTCTGTTGATCTAACCATAAAAATGAAACCCCAACTAAGACATTTTGACTGATAACGTGATAACAATAAAATCATTAGTAATCTAAAACACTGTAGAATAGAACAAGGAAAAAAGAATAGTCGAAACGATATAATTAAGAATAAAAATACTTGTTACATGAAACACAACTCCTCCCTACTTCTAAACAAATTTCAAATCTTAAAAACACTATCAAGAAAGAAAAATTAATAATAACGTTAGGAGACAAAAAGTCTGGGGTTATTATTTTAAAAAAAGACCAATACTTACAAAAGACAGAAGATTGTTTCTTAGAAAATAAAATATTAAAAATTAAATTCGATCCAACCTTAAGAAAATTAAAAACAAGGTATTGCCACTAGTAGAATAGCCATAAAAATCCAAAATTTTCTATATCGCAAACTTAAAGACACGCTTATTTATAACTTAAAGAATTCCTCAGACCTAATAGAAAAAAATAAAAATATTAAACTTTCTAACAAATCACACCTTATATCATTTGAAATAAAAAATGTATACGCAAATCTCCCTATTAGAGTGGCTAATTATTATACAGAGATTACTGCTTAAAGATAACTCAATAAATAATATAGAAGTACAAGATATTATTACTTTTATAGAAACTGTATCGGGCATAATAACCGACCTCTATGTAAACCACTTTCAGAGGGAGTCATTTACTGATGAACACAAATTCATCAACAAGGTCATCTTATTTTATAGACGATACGTTGATGACATATTCATCATTTTCGAAAGAAATGACGCTCACCTTGTAGCCTTTCACAAAATTTTTAACAATCTATGTATACTAGAATTTAGCTCAAAACTTGAATCCCAAGGGAAATTAAATTTTTTAGATTTGGAAATAAAAAGAGATCCCAATCACGAAAGTCTTAAATTTGATATTTTTAGAAAAAAGACCTACACTGACGTGACCATCCTTAAATTATCTTTTAACTGTTTAAAGCTATAAATACGCCAATTTTAGATTCATGTTTATCGGAATGTTAAATATGCCTCTGGAAGAGAAAAACATTGTAGTCGAGATCTATTAAATATTAAAAATAGGTCTAAACAATGACTTCAGTTTAGCTTCTTATATATCCCACTGTGAACTCAAAAACTCAATATCTAGCCATACCATACAATCCATTATTGAAATAGAAATTCAAGAACAATTTGAAGAAATACAACATTGTAGTCGCGATCAAATCAGGTAAAATATCGGGTCAACTTATACAGGGTCCTGCAACAGTGCGTCAGGCTTTTATAGCTCCTATACCAATTAAGTTAGGAATTTCTTTCAAACGCAGACTTGTACTATACAGTGTGACCCATTTGAAAGCGGAGCACCCTCGTAAAATCTGTATTTATTACCCGATTTCGACAAATTTTTTTTTGAATTTGAGAGCGTAAGAGAAACTGTACCCTAGGACAAAGCGTCATTTTTTTTTGAAGAAACCAAGGCCTACTATTTCACTTTTTAGGTGCAAAAAATGAAGAAATGCCATTTATTTAAAAAACTTAAGTTATGGTACTTCGAAATTTCGAAAAGTTAACGTGCCATAGTAAAGTGACCAAAGGATCAGATAGACAGCCGTTCTCGGCACCAAAACATCATGTTGCTTTTGATAACCCAAAAATCGAGTGTTCTCTGATTTTTTGAACTGGAGCAGATTTTTCTAGAAAAATTCGAATAACTCGAGAACGGAAGAATCAAATTGCAAAAAGTAAAGTTATTTATAAACCTTGAAAGCAGACAAATCCAAATATGTAAAAATATACAGGATGTTCTATTTAAAAAAAATAAAGTAGGTGGCGATTTTCGGTATAACCGGAAGTGCTAGAAATCTGAAAATATTTTAGTCGAAGAGAACGCAATTGATAATACTTAAGTCTGAATTCTCAAATTTTTATTTTGTCCAGAACCCCAGAAACGTCTAATGACCGGTTTCGCTGAGACACCCTGTATATCCCAATGTAAAGTCAAAAACTCCATGTGTAGCCATACCATACAATTCATTACTGGAATATAAATTCAAGAACAATTTGAAAAAATACAACATTACACCCGCGTTCAAATCAGGTAAAAAAATTTCAGGTCAACTTATCAATAATAAACATAGATTTAATTTCGTAGAATTAAGCGGAGTGTATCTATATATAGGTCAGACGGGCAGGAATCTGAGAGTCACAGCACAACAACATCTTACTTAGGATTCCTCCACTTTCTTCAAACACCTGAAAGAATACAAGCACTCTGTAGATATGAGTTTACTAAAACATGTCAACAAATCCATGGAACTTGACCTATATGAAGAGTTTTTTATATATTCCAAGAAGGATAATCTAGGATAGTGCCAGTGTAAAACTTTTACAGGTTTAGTGTTAGTTCTAATTTTAGTTCACTAATATCCAACATAGTGATATTTTATGCTAACTAGCGCTAAATTTGAAAAAAAATATCTTTCAGAAAATATAAAAGTTAACCCCATTAAGACCTCCTTTTACCAACCTCCAGATAAACTATCAAGAAGATAGTTACCATGGTTACGGTGATTTTAAGCGCTCTCATTAACTAAGAGTTGGATTTATCTATCCAGAAGAATTCCTACATTCTGAGGGATACCCAGGGAGCCGCCAAACAACGCAAGTTGGAAAACATGCTAAATACTGCACCAGCCTTATATTTCAGGCGTGATGAAGGAGACTAAGATGCTAGCCAAAGAATTATAAGAGGGATAAGAAGATTTCTCATTTCTATCTTGCTTTCTTATAATCATATCAAGAAGATAGTTACCATGGTTATGGCGATTTTAAGCGCTCTCATTAGCTAAAAGCTGGATTTATCTATCAGATAAATCTATCAAAAGGTGCTAAGTAATGGGAGCGGAAGGTTATTAACTATCATGCAGTTGTAGGAAGTAGTTGGCAAAACTTGACGTAACATCAAGTGCCGCATAGAACAAGAACAAGAAGATTGCTAGATGTACTTCCGAAGGACGGCTACACTCTCAGGGATATCCAGCGAGCCACCAAACAACTCAAGTTGAAGAACTTGACCTATATGAAGAGTTTTTTATATATTCCAAGAAGGATAATCTAGGATAGGGCCGGTGTAAAACTTTTACAGGTTTAGTGTTTGTTCTAATTTTAGTTCACTAATATTCAACATAGTGATATTTTATAGGTTTGTTCCAACAAGCGGTCGGACTCGTCCGTTACTCGTCAAATGCAATCGCACATGTGAAGTAATGTCGTCACATTTCAGCGGATTTCATTGCATTATTTAACTGTGCGATTACATTTGACGAGTCCACGTCGAATCAAACCAAATTTGAAAAAATTATCTTTCAGAAACTATAAAAGTTATTGTTTTGGCATTAAAGTTTTGAAAGGTTTTGTTACTGAGTGTTACTTAGTGAATTACAAAAAATAGGATAAATTTAAAAAAATCGTGGAAGTCTTAGTTTTGAAAAGTATGAAATAATTTTTATATCAAATTAAAGACGAAATCTTTTTCTTTCAACAAATATGAAGAATATTGTTATAGCATTAATGAGATTTGGTAAAAAAGAAATTTTTAAAGTAATGATTTTTGAGATTTAAAAAAATCGTATTTTTGAAAATTATCAAACAATTTCTATATCAAATTAAAGCTTAAACCCTCCCTTTTAAAATTAAATTAACTTCTACAGTTTTTCTTTACAAATTTCTAGATTTTTTCTAGTTCTAGTGTTAGTTCTAGTTTTAGTTCAATAAAAATATACAACAATTTAAAGCTGAATATCAATTAATTTAAAACTACAGCTAAACCCAAATCTTTTTAGTTCTAGGTCTAATGTTAAAAATTTAGCAGTTTAAAAAAAAAATGATTTCCTTACATCAAAGAACGATTTATCATCCGTTTTTTTCGGAGCACCCGGTGTAGCTTGCGCAGACATAACGGACATAACCTCAGCTAAATCAATGTATCCTTTACAATGTGAATCAACCATCGTATCATAATATCTCAATTGGTGTTTAATCGTATCCAAAACGAACCATCTTTGTTTCCAACCTTTCAGCAAAGCCCCCCGTTTATAAAGGAAACCCTCGTGAGTCCTATTTTCGGCGACATTCGACGAAAATTGCTCGTAAAAGTGCTGGCTGGAAGTTTGTCGCGCACTTCCTGAACTCACCGAACCGTTATCTCCGCCACTAACGGATATCGCGGTATTTATGGCGCTATCCGTTACCGATTTGTACTTTGTGCAATTTTTTGGAACCCTTTCAATGCATTTTTCGTGGCAGCTATATCCGCAATCAACGCATCTCATTCCCGTCTAAACATAACAACTTTATTAATAATAAATTAAAAAATTGATTGGTTTATACCTTAACTGGTCCCCATAATACGCTTGAACAATAATCGCAATAAGTCGGTGTTGTATAATTATACCGATCAAATCTGTGCGGATGAGAATAAACCAAAGCGGCCTCCGCCGCTCCAACCATTTTACCACGCATCAAAATTTCTAAAGTTGAACGTTTATGAACTAAACGCCCGTGAGATCGAACTAAAGCTGTACTAAACGATGCGTGCCTCTAAATTTAGATTATCTTGTATTAAAAAAAAAATTATAAAGTTATAAATCTTACCGTTAAAGAATCAGTACTAGGAACCTCTAATTTTTCCCACAAAATTTTCCATTTTTGCGGCAAATGCCCCATTTCCGTTTCTAATTTATGAATCTCCTCCAATAAATGTGTAAAAGCATCCGGAACGTTTTTATTAGCATTATCATAACCCATTGTAACAATTTTTCGCATCGACTTATTATTAACCCCATCAGCAGCTTCAATTTCCTCCTCCTGTTGAGTATCCATTTGAATAATCTCCGGGTCATAACTCGGCCCATGCGAAAGCTCCTCATCCAAATAATACTGCCACAACTCCAAACAAGCTAAATGCGATTGTGGGCGAAGAACCGGATGTTCAAAATCAGGGGTGTACATAAAATTAAAAAAACCCGGACTTCTCGCATGTTGTTTTTCGATATAATCAAAAACGCTTTGTCCCAAATTTGGTCCTAAAGAAATCCCCGCCATCCGACCACCTGGATAAACATTTTCATCATCCGAACAAGTATCTACACTTTTATGATGCGAAGTTAATGATCCTCTTTTATCTTCAACCGCGGCAACCCCGCATTCGACCCTTTCTAACTCGCAATCAAAAAGAAACGTACGAAAACGACACGAAACCGAATGATAAGCGAGAAATCGTAGATAATAGTCGTTAAATTCAAAAGCCATGGGGAATTGTTTTTGAATTTGATGAATTACGTCGAGGAATTGGAGAAAAGTTGGGGCAAAACCGCTCGCTTGTGAATTTGCGTTTAAATTTGAACGGTGACTAAATCTGTGTCCAAATCCAATCCATTCCTTTTCAACTAAAATCCTAAAACCCTCTATAGTACGATAAAACGGATCTAAACAAAGTTGCGCGACCGAAGCAACTTGAGCTGTAACATCCCAACCATCCTCAAGACAAATCGCAACACTCGAACCTTGAAGATCTAAAAGATCAATTACAGCCCCAGAAAGTTGCATGATATTTTGTAATTGCTGCAACCATTCCGAATTTTCAATCAAACGATAAAAACTTTGTTCAGGCTCTACCGTCGTCGAACTTGGAATGCAAGCTCTCATTAATTTTTTAAACGCCGCTTTAGTGTGTCTTACATCGTAATATTCAACGGGAATAAAATCAGTCATCGAACTACCTTCGATTCTAGCACCCTTCATTTGTGCTTTTTCACCTAAAATATATAACGCAGCCTTTTGTAACGTATGAACACTCGCTGCCGCTTCAACGTCCGTTGAATGTCGTATATTTCCTCTTTGTTGTTGCGTTGTACTTAGAGAGGCTTGAGAATTTTGTCTTCTATCTTTTAACGAGCTTCGATTAAAACTTTTTGGTCCTTTTCCACCACTAGATCTAGGAAATACACTAAAACAAAAATGTTAAAATTAAATTAATTAATGAAGTATTAAAATAAGTGCAAATTTTAGAAGTTTTTGAATTAAAATTAGATGGATTCCATGTTGCAACTAGAAGAAAATTTCTAGAAGATGTACTCTGAGGGATATCCAGTTAGCCACCAAACAAAGTAAGCAGATGGAAATAAATTTCAAATATGATGGAGGGGGCCAAGGTGCTAGCCAAAGAATTATAAGGAGATTATAATGTAACATTGTGGTCATTAATAAGAAAGAATCTGGATTGGTTCTATCGATTTAATGTTAAGAGTACAAAATCGGAAATAAAACTAAAACTAGAAATTTCCGGATGTTTCTAGTTTCAGTTTTATTTCTAATAACACTGGCCGTGGACGCCTATGAACGAAATCGTGGTATGATACGGTACAAAACACAAGTTAACCCCATTAAGACCTCCTTTTACCATCCTCCAGATAAACTATCAAGAAGATAGTTACCATGGTTACGGCGATTTTAAGCGCTCTCATTAGCTAAGAGTTAGATTTATCTATCAGATAAATCTATCAAGAGGTGGTAAAAGTGGCCATAAAGGGAGCTATCATGCAGTTGTGGGAAGTAGTTGGCAAAACTGGACGTGACATCACGTACCGCATAGAACATGAATAAGAAGATTGCTAGTTGTACTCCAGAAGAATCCCTACACTCTGAGGGATACCCAGGGAGCCGCCAAACAACGCAAGATGGAAAACAATGTAAATACTGCACCAGCCTTATGTTTCAGGTGTGATGGAGGGGAGCAAGGTGCTAGCCAAAAAATTATAAAGAGATTATAAGAGGGGTAAGAAGATTTCTCATTTTTATCTTGCTTTCCTATAACCGATCAAAATTGCACCATGACTTTATGGACACACTGTATAATTAAAACATTGTGGTCATTAATGAGAAAGAAACTGAAATGGTTTTAATGATTTAATATAAAGAGTACGAAATCAGAAATAAAACTAAAACTAGAAACTTCCGGATGTTGCACCTTGAAGAAGATTTCTAGAAGATGTACTCCAGAAAAACTCTGAGAGATATCCAGAGAGCCATCAAACAACGCAAGCAAATTGAAAACATGCTAAGTACTGCACCAGCCTTGTTTATCTACCTTCTTTATGTTCAGATGTGATGAAGGGGTGCTAGCAAAAAAATTATAAGGTATAGTTACCATGGCTACTATTTTAAGCGCTCTCATTAACTAAGAGCTGGATTTATCTATCAAGAAGTGGTAAAAGTGGCCGTAACGGGAGCGGAAGTTTATTGACTGTCTTGCAGTTATGGGAAGTAGTTGGCAAAATTGCTAGATGTACGAAATCAAAAATAAAACTAAAACTAGAAACTGCCGGATGTTGCAACTAGAAGAAGATTTCTAGATCCAGAGAGCCACCAAACAACGCATGATGGAAAACATGGTAAGTACTGCACCAGCCTAATGTTTCAGGTGTGATGGAGGGGACTAAAATGTTAGCCAAAGAATTATAAGGAAATTATAAGAGAGATAAGAAGATTTCTCATTTCTATCTTGTTATGTTACTTTTCTGTAATCGATTAAAAGTGCACCATGTCTTAATAGACACACTGTATAAATAAAACATTGTGGTCATTATAAGAAAGAAACTAGAATGGTTCTAATGATTTAATGTTATGAGTATAAAATCGGAAATAAAACTAAAACTAGAAACTTCCCTACGTTATGCCGTGCGTTAGAAACCCATCCTCCAGATAAACTATCAAGAAGATAGTTACCATGGTTACGGCGATTTTAAGCGCTCTAATTAGCTATGAGCTGAATTTATCTATCAGATAAATCTATCAAGAGGTTGTAAAAATGGCCGTAAAGGGAGCGGAAGTTTATTGATTATCATGTAGTTGGCAAAACTGGACGTAACATTAAGTGACGCATAGATCATGAACAAGACGATTGCTAGATATATTCCAGAAGAACTGCTACACTCTGGGGGAAGTACTGCACCAACCTTATGTTTTAAGTGTAATGGAGGGAAAGCCAAAGAATAATGATGAGATTATGAGAGGGATAAGAAAATTTCTCATTTCTATCTTTGTTCTTCTTAAATTTTTACTTTAAAATTGAAACAAACTTTTTTTTGCATTTTTATGTTATCAGAATTGATTATCTCGCTGTAGTGACCTGTTAAATTTTCTTTTAAAAGGAATGCTGGTTTAAGATTGTTGATGTTAACAATTAATTCTTGGTTGTTTTTAAAAATTACAAAATATTTCAGAAATGCTTTTATTACTTTAAATGGGCCTTTATATCTTGGAGTTAAACAGGGTTGGGGTTCAATCTTCTTTAACTCTTTATTTATTATTCATTTAATTTTGAATTGAATTAATCTTTGTGAATAAATGGTTTTTGTTTAGAATGAAAAACTGTGTTTACTAGTTTCAAACAAGAGAATGTTTCTCGTAAACTACGATAGATTGCAATGGATCAGATTCCAAAAAATGTTGATTATTAATAAAAAAATTCTCCAGGAAGACTAAATGATTGACCGTATACTAGTTTGGCACATAAACAACCTAAATCTTCTTTATGAGATGATCTGAGGCCTAGGAGAACCAAGGGAAGATCATTGTTAAACCTCGTAGTGTTTCTGGTAGTGATGACTGTTTTTAAAGAACGGTGAAATTTTTTTAAAACTCCGTTACTTTGGGATGGATGAATTTGACGTGTTCCTAGAAGTGTGAAATTTTGAAAAATGTTTTGATTCGAATTCTCGTCTCTGATCATCGGTGATAGTGCTAGGAATGCCATATCGGCTGAAATAATGCCGAAACAAAGTATCCGCAATAGAAGTAGAACTAATATCTTTGAGAGGAAAACGCGTGAAATGATCTATTACGGTGAGCACATATGTGCAGCCAAGGGACGGAGTTTTGGTATCAGAATTTTGCTAATAGGTGATTTTGTGAACTTTTGTTTGTTGACATTTCAAACAGGTTTTGTCCATAACTGAATGTGTTTCGTCGTGTGTGTAGTAGCGCGAATACCAGGATGTGTTAAGTTGTGTAATTTGTTGAAAATTATTTTACGAAATTTTTGTGATATGTATGTTCGAGGATTGTTTGTTGAAAGGTCGCACCAAAGCTTTACATCTGAATGCGATGTTGTTTGTTGCAATAGGTTATTTTTAGTAGTTTGTGTGCTTGAGTATTGTTGGTTTAGTCAATGTGTTAACTCTGTATCATTAAATTGTGCGTTTTAAATTAAATTGTGAATTTAGAGAATCAATATTTGTTCTGGACAACGTGTCAGCTACAATGTTAGATTCTCCTTTAATGTACCTGATGAATTGCTAATAATTTTCTATCAAAAGTTGAATAATTTATTTGGCTTGAAGATAATTTTTGAGAAAAAAATGCTAAAGCTTGTGTTCTATTATCTATAGTCTGTGACAAAACTGCTCCCATGCCTTTACTTGAGGCGCCTGTTGTTAGTGAAAGAGTAGCTTGTGGTAATGAGTGTGCAAGAGTGACGGATTTTGATAAAAGTTCTTTGGTTGTAGTGAAAGAAATGTTATGATGTGTCCAGGAAGTGATTGATTTAAGTTTTTGTGAATAAAGTGTTTTCGATAAATGATATAAAGGAGCTAAAATGTTTGACATGTTTGGCAAAAATCTGTGATAAAAATTTATCATTTCTAAGAATCGCTGTAATTGTTTAAGTGTGGTTGGTTTTGGAAATTTAGTTATGGCATTAACCTTAGATTGCAAAGGGCAAAGAAATTTAAAGTTCTAATTCCAAAAACACATTTTGTTGATTGAATATTGATGTTGCAAGAGCTTAACCTCTCAAACAATTGTCGTAAATCAGAATAATGTTCTTCTTCATTGCGACTGGTTATTAGAACATCATCTAAATATACGAAAAGGAAGAAGCCAGAAAGAACTTCGTTTATAAATCTTTGAAAGGTTCAAGGGCAATCGCAAAGGCAACCCAACCTTGTTTGTACATGTCGTGTGCACAGCATGCTAAAGTTACCATGGTTACAGCGATTTTAAGCGCTCTCATTAGCTAAGACTTGGATTTATCTGTCAGATATCTATGAAGAGGTGGTAAAAGTGGTCGTAAAGGTAGCGGAAGTTTAATGACTATCGTGCAGTTGTGGGAAGTAGTTGGCAAAACTGGACGTAACCAGTTAGTGGAGTGTTAAAGCAGTAACCACTTGTCTTTACTGGTTTAACAACAGGTAGCGCATAAAACATGAACAAGAAATTTTCTAGATGTATTCCAGAAGAACTCTGAGGGATATCGACACTTCGAGGAATATCCAGAGAGCCACTAAACAACGCAAGATTGAAAACAATGTAAGTACTGCACCAGCCTTATGTTTCAGGAGTGATTCTTTTTTTAAGAAAAAAATGTTAAAAGTTGTGTTTTATTGTCTGTGATAAAACTGCTCCCATGCCTTTACTTGAAGCGTCTGTCATTAGTGAAAGAGTAGCTTGTAGTGATGGGTGTGTAAGAGTGACGGATTTTGATGGAAGTTCTTTGGCTGTAGTGAAAGAAACGTCGTGATGATGTGTCCAGGAAGTGATTGATTTGAGATGATGTAAAGGAGCAAAAATTTTTGAGATGTTTGGCAAAAATTTGTGATAAAAGTTTATCATTCCTAAGAATCGCTGTAATTGTTGCGTGAATGCCTTTTGTAGAGATCTGATAACTTTGGAAATTTAAAGTTCTAACTCCAAAAACACATTTTGTTGGTTGAATATTGATATTGATAGATAATGTTCTTCTTCATTGCAACTGGCTACTAGAATATCATTTAGATATACGAAAAGGAAATCTAAGCCAGAAAGAACTTCGTTCATAAATCTTTGAAAGGTTCAATGGTAATCGCAAAGGCTTCAGTCACCATGGTTACAGCGATTTTAAGCGCACTCATTAGCTTAGAGCTAATCAAGAGGTGGTAAAAATGGCCATAAATGGAGCGGAAATTTATGGACTAACATGCAGTTATGGGAAGTAGTTAGCAAAATTGCTGGCAAAACATCATTTTCAAAAAACTTGAAGAGTTTCCAGTTATTTTAATATTTCAATCATGTTTGTAGTCGTAATAGTTTTAAAAACGAACAAATTTTTTATAATAACCTTATATTTTACTTACCCTAATGTTCCCATTGCTTTATTAAATGGATTCGGCCTTCGCCCCATTTCCGGTGTTAACGTTCCCGCAGTTAAAGGATCTTCAGCGGCCAATAATAAAGAATCAATACTTAAACTACTATCAGAAAGTGCCCAATCAGCACCTTGTCTCAACGCAAATAAAGGAGTAGCTGAAACCAAAGCGGTAATATATTTTTCTTGTTCACATGATGAAGTTGTATCGGTCGAAGTGGTCGTTGTTGGGTGACTTTTCAACATCCCCATTACACTTTTTCCATGATACCCCGCCCCGCGTAATAATAAAGCTTTCGTTCGTGGATGTCTCCAAGTTATCGTTGGAATCCTCCCCTGTCTATAACACCTACAAAATTTCCTAATACTTTCGTCGGGAACCGGAGATGGTACGATAATTAACGCGGGATAACTTCGACACATCATATAAATTGAGTTAACGGTTGTTAATCGAAATTGTTCGGTTGAATGTTTTGACGAAGGCGATGTATTCGTCGAACAAAGTCCTAATCTTTGCCAATCTCTCACGTAGCTTCGCTCAACGAGGCGCTCCAATGTTTTTGAATCGGTTGTAGCGGGGATTATTGACGTTGAAGATGGGCCGGATTCAAAATCATCAATTGACATATCATCATCGTGATTATAATCGTCAGGAATTGGAAGACTCATCCGACCAGGAGATGTCATATATTTTGAATTATTGTTTACACCCATGTTGGGAAGGACGTATTTTTGACGTTTTGAGGTGGGTTTTTGTTTAAATCCGGCTTTTCTTGCTGTTTTTAGAAGTGTTTTTTTCGCAAAGCCCCTAATTAAGAAATCAAATTTTTTTATTATAATAAATTAATTATTTTTTTTTTACAAACTTACTTTAAAGTGGCATTTTTTTCTTTATTTTTATGTAAAGGTGTTTGAGTAACAACAACTTGTCCGGTAAAAGCGAAATGATGGAAGACGTCTGGAGGATGTCGTATTTTATGGATTAATTTTCGCAATGTATCAACGTTTTCGGGAGTTACTTCATCGTCGAAGGCGAGTTTCATTAATTGAAACGTACAAGAACGAATTTGAAGTCCTTCTTGTAACCATTGATTTAAATGGCTAAGATATTGTTCGCCAACTTTTTTTTCTTTAGTTAATGACGTGACGGGAAAAGATCTTACTACGATTTGTTCGCATGCGAAAGAATCGCAAGGAATTCCTTTAAAAATAATTCTGTAATTGGTTAAAAATATCGCTCCTTCGGCTGGTAAAAGAATTGGTCCTCCTAAATTACTCGTCGAACTTTCTTCACGTCCATCTGGCAACAAATACACCCTCAACCCTTCCATAATACTTTCCTCCCCAACTAACATATTCGGTGTTAAGATCTTTGGTTTTTGTATTGGTGGTAATCGTTTAGATTCTCTATAAACCCCTTCTAAAGTTTCGATATGAATATGAACGACTCCCGGTACCATTTGATGAAGATTTCGAATGTGTTCTCGACTAACTCCGCCTTCATTACACACTTTATCGATAAATCTCGAAACTTGACGTATAACGGTCGCCCCAGTTTCACTAGAATCTTCCTCAAAACCACTTTCAGCGTCGATACTATCACTTTCAGCGACACTATTCGTTATGCTATTACTGGCACGTTCGTCATCGATGTGGTGATCTTGTTTATGGATTTTATTTCCGATATCTAAAGGGATTAATAAAGAAACCATTCGATTCGCATAATGTATAGCTTGACTGTACATGGTACTTTCTTCGCTCGATACTAATTCTTTTTGTTTTTCGACATCAAACATAGTCCAAACTCTCATTTGTTCAGCAGCGATTTCCAAAGCACTTGGTTCTTGTACCCGATTTAAAATCGAACGGCGATTTTGCCAGGAATAATCTTTTGGGTCACGCGGAGATGTTGGACTAAGCATTTCTGAGTTAATTCGAGAAGTTAACATATCAGCTCGTGGGAGATACAAAGCTTTAATATCTTTTTGAACATCTTGATAAAAAGCTGATTCCCAAAATTGTTGGTTTTGCCAAACAGCATGTTCCTAAAATTCCATCTTATTAAAAAAAAATAATAATTTTTTAATTTTACGTACTTGAATGCATGTATAAGCGAATTGTATAACCCCAGTACACAATTTTCGGCAAAAAGCCGTCGCTAAAGGTAATAAAGCGTAAGCAACTCCATATTCATCCATTGCCGAATCATCTTGTAAAGCACAATTCATTAAACGGACGACTAAATCGAATTGTTGGTGTTCTAACATTGCTTTATTACCAACGACGTGTTGAGAGAGTTCGTTGCAAAGTGCCAGACGGGCTTGTTTTGATTGTAAAGCTCTTAAAACAGCCGGGAAAGTTTTTCGTGCATCCGAAATTTTGTTTTCAAATATGCAGTTGACGCAATTTCTTAAAACCTGTTATTAATTTATGTTAGTTTAAATTATAAATGAGAATTTTAAGAAATTATTAACCCATTCGCTGCAGAAAAAGAATTCTCAAAGATTTAATAATCAATTTAATTCTCATTTTAAGGAAAATTTTCAAAAAATCGTAAAATCAAAAAATTAAGGTTGTAAAGGATGTAAATTTGACAGTTTCTGGAGATCGATCTTGGAAAAAACGCGGTCATACTTTTCGTTTCGGTGTTACAACTCTTGCAGCTAAATTTTTAACTTACTATAAAAGTTGTGAAGTATGGGAAAAGAAAAAACTTACACATCCTGAAGAATCTAAACAATAGCTCGAAGAGCATGACGATTGTGATGTAAATCATGAAGGATCGGCTGCGAAAATGTAGCTTGATAGTGTGAAGGAAATGTTTAGTCACTCGATTGACGAATATGGTGCAAAGTATAGCCGTTATATTGGTGATGGTGATAGTGCTACATACAAAGGAATAATAAGTGTGAAGTCATCGAAGTAGAAAAATTAAAGTTTTTACTATTTACATGTAAAAAAAGAGAATGGGAACGTGATGTCGAAACCTGAAAAAGCAAAGTAAGGGCTTAGGAGGAAACAGTAAAAATACAATGAAACTAACTGAAAAAGTAATCAATAAACTCCAAAAGTATTACGGATTAGCAATTCACAGACATCAAAATAATATATATAGGGAAATTTGGGCTACATTTTATCATTTATGTTCCACCGACCAGAACGCCAACCATGAAACAGCCCTGAAGGTGCGGAGACTCAACAAATGGACATGACAAATTTCAAACATGAGTACCTTCCGTTAGATACGCCAGTGGCAGAAGCTTTAGAACCAATTTATACAAATTTAAGTAGAAGAGACTCAAAATAAAAATGAATAATCCAAATAGGCTATCTGCATTTAAAGAAATCAGTCTCATATTATTCTGATTTTACATTTTTAAATGCTGGCCACCCTTTTCTTGTATCTATTTTACAGGGAATGCCTCATTTTGTATAACCCAGCGTTTAATACTGTGGACATACTTCACTAAAAAAATCATTCTAGACATGTATGAGAGAATGGTTAGCAAACTAAAGAGTGGCTGAAGATATAGCATTTACTACCGATCTTTGGACTTGTTAAGCAAATAATGCCGCATTTCTGAATTGCACAGGACACTGGACATCAGAAAACTTTAATCTGAGTGATTTACCTCTTACACACATCAGAAAATATCAAAAGAGAAAACTCTACTTCCTTCAGAGCGGTGCTTCATACATACTCTCCAGCTGGTGATAAATAATGCATTAAGAAACAGTTCCCCAATAACAGAAATTCTGACTAGTGCCCGGCGCATTGTGACACATTTTAATCACTTGGGATATAGAAAACTTGAAAGTATTCAATCTAAACTTGGACTGCCTAAACATAAACTAATTCAAGATATTCAAACTCGCTGGAACTCAACATATAACCTACTACTTAAACAAAAAAGAGCAATATCAGTGTCAAGAATCAAGATTTTTGGAAATTTGACCAGGGACCAGTGGGAGATTATTGAACAACTGTTAAAGCTCTTAAAACCTTTCGAAGAGATAACAAAAATAACGAGTTCCACATATGCAGCTATATCACTATAAAACAGTTTCATTAACCAAATACGTAATAAAAGATGCGCTTATTTAACAAACTGAATGAATTTATTGTTGATTATTTTAGAAAGACGTTAATAGAAAATATGCAAGCCATATCACTTAACGACATTTTTAGATTCCCGCTACAAGAACTTTTTCTTTGACACTGCCCAAACTGAACGAGTCCATAGAGTTACCCTCAAACAAGGTCTTACAATTAAGCTTTCTTTAGATGACGAAAATGGTGATTCGGATCCAGAAATGGCGTGCACAAGACCTCGTTTAGACAATGAAAGTGGGAATGTCGATTCAGAAAGTCATAAAATATTTTGGGCATGTTTTGAAGAATCTACGACAGAGCAGCCTTTTGAAGAGCAACCTAAGAATGACACTGCTAAAGAAGTTGTCCACTACATCGCGTCCCCATTTGAAATAAGCTTGCTAAACGATACTTAATCACACCAGCAAGCTCTATTTATTCACTCTATTATCTGAGACAGGTTTGATTTTTGAAGAAAAGCGCAACCGACTTGATCCCAATCGTGCACAATCTGCCCCTTTTGGACTTTAAATATTAATAAAAAAGCCTAACTAATTAACTTCAACATGACATGACTGATTTTTGGCTATTAACAACTATTTATATTAATGATAATAATTAGTACTAAGTATGTTTTGTTTTTTAAGAAAAATTGATTATTATCATTTCTTTCCATCTTGTACTTATAGAATGAAACTTAATTTTTGCACTTTTCAATGAATTTTTATTTTGTATTTTAGGTTCGACCTCATTATGGCGGCTAAAGATAATAACATTAAAACCGCATTAATTTGTTAAAGTTATTTAGAGTTGTAATAACCAGAAGTAAAGTTTTTGAGTTGTATATTTTAACCGATTTTAACATGGTTTGTGAATTCATAATGACGTGCTTCCTGAAGATGATTTAAATTAAATCGAAACCGGTCGAACCTAAAATACAAAATAAAAATCCATTGAAGTGCAAAAATTGAGGTTCATTCTATAGTTTTTTTGTTCATTAAAACTTTATTTTAGACAACTATTCGCTGAATGTAGAAAATACCCGCTATTCGGTATTCTACGAATTATTAAAAAAAATGCAGAACACCGAATAATAGCGAAAAAGAGGATACTTTAATTAATAGTTGGTGATATATCCACGAGGATCCTTCCAGAAATTAATTTTATAGCGAATTTTGAAAATTATCGATGAAAATTGCAACATCGAAAATTTTATTAAAACTTCAAATATTGTTTTCTCAAAAACTAAAAGTTATTTTTCAAAACGTGTTGGTTCATTGGAAAGAGGACACTTTTATTAACACTTTGGGAAATTTTCATACTCATATTCCAAGAAATGGATTTTATACGAATTTTTAAAACTTAATCGGCGAAAATTGCAAAATTCGAAAAAATTGTCGATCATTTCAAAAATTTATTTCTCAAGAACTAAAAGTGATTTTTCAAAACGGCTTTTTGCATTAAAAAGAGGATACTTTAATTAATAATTGGTGATATTTCCACAAGGATCCTTCAAGAAATTAATTTTATAGCGAATTTTGAAAATTATCGATGAAAATTGCAACATCGAAAATTTTATTAAAACTTCAAATATTATTTTCTCAAAAACTAAAAGATATTTTTCAAAACGAGTTGGGTCATTGGAAAGAGGACACTTTTATTAACACTTTGGGAAATTTTCATACTCATATTCCTAAAAGTGGATTTTATACGAATTTTTAAAACTTAATCGGCGAAACGGTATTTTTGAAATTTGCTGCAGTTCTAACTCAAAGACAAATTATCCGATTGACTTGAAATGTTTAAGAGTATTATAAACATGTGTTATTTATTGTATTAATCTAGGATATTTTTGATTGGATGAAAACTATCGATTTGACAGCGAGTTTTTCTTCCAAACTCATCCTAGGTAGTTTAACATAGAATCTACTATTATTGCTGCAGCAGTGGAGGGAATTTCTTTTATGAGTGTTTGTGTATGAAGAAGTGGTGAAAGAAGTGAACATTCGATGAAATACTTAAAAAAAATCCCAAACATCACGTAAATTCTTTAGCAATCACACTGGTATAGCCCCTTAATGTGTATATTTGCAGCGAAAGGGTTAATTTTCCCTACCTATTTATATACTTACTTCTAATTTTCTCGCTGAATTACTAACAATATTCTTGTTTTCACTCAGATTGGAGATATGCGGCCCCATCGGGACTATTCTCGGCTGAATTGGTCTGAGAGATTGCAGCCTAATACGTAAAATATTATCACTAAAAATTTTTGAGTGCGACAAAAATTAAAAGAAAAATCTAAACAAAACACATTAAATCTAAACAAAACTACGCTTACAATTAAAACATTACATCCATACATTCATTTTTTTTTAAATTTTTTGAATCACCTTTATTTTTTCTTACCAATTTATATCTCCACTTTTTTAAGCAAAGAAGATAATTGTTAATAAACTTAAATAATTAATTTAATTCGAATAAAACTCACCTTGATTTTAAATTATTTCTGGTTAAACCTTCTTCAATGATACATTGAACTTGTTGAGAATCAATTAATGGCAAAGTAGGTTGATGAATCCTAGTGAAAGCTCCTTCAGGAGGCACAGGTATTTTTTGTGCATATGATTGAGGATTTGGATTTTCATTTGTGTATAATTGCTGGGCGAGTTCTTGAATATGCCCCAATAATAATCGAGATTCATGACTCTCACTTTTAATAATCTCTCCAAAATTACTATACAATTCATCCCAAACATCACAAGGCCTCCAAGGAGATCCCCTTTCCGCCACAAAACTCGTAAAAAACATACTATCCAAAACTCGCGTTGTAAAATCACAATCCGTCAGATTTCTTTCCCCCAAAAACGATGCTTTATGAAACGTTATAACGGGTTTTGGGTGGATCCGAATTAAAGTTAAACAACTTCGATATCCTTGTAATAATTGCGCAAATGTCCGCATAAAAACAGCGCGAATTTCTTTATCCAGCATTACGTTTTGAGGCGCTCTCACTGCAAGAGGTGGAAACGCGTGGTCCGCAAAATTTAATTCAGGTTGTAATATTACACTTAAAGCTTCTTGAGTGTTACTGAGTAAAGGCTCAGGAAGTAATGGTAAAGAAACCCCATCTGGTACAATAATTGAACCTCCATCTAAATCCGCAACAATAACATCCATCAATTCAGCCACTTCAGACTTTAACGACGAATGAACCCCCATAATAAATGGAGTTGGGGTCGACAAAACCTCAACTAAAGGTGCTGGAAGAAGTGGGATGTAAACGTGAGTGTATCGAAAGGGGTACATCAACGCTGTTAAGGCTCTACACGCTTCTGTGAGTCTGTTATAACTCTTTGAGTGAAAGAGAATTTTGTGTTCAGTCATTATGGCACAGAACAAAATTAAAACGTTGCGAATTCCCAATTGTTGGAATATCAAACTGACGGTTGTGTGTGTTACAGGTAATGAGGGGCTTATTGGGGGTTGGAGAGCTTGACGGTCACCCGCCCCTATACTAAAACGAACTTGGGGGCCTCCCGGAGGAGGTACTTGAATACAACCCAAAATGTTCCCTACTAAAGTCTCCAAAGGAACTCCAATATTTTCTATGTAAACGGTGTAAATGATTCCTAAACAATTCTGGAAATTAAAACAAAAGGAAAAATGCGCAATCAGAAAGTAATAACAATAAAAAATGATAAGGGGTAAAGATAATTTTTGTGAATCATAAATCTGAGTTGCTTAACAAGAATTTTATGAGTGAATGTAATTCATTAAAACAATGAGAAGTATTTATATCAACAAATTCTTTTTAAATACTCACTCTAAATGTTTCTATATAATCCAGTCTCGAAACTAATACTAAACATTTTGGAGCGTACATTATGCTATGGTGGCATATTGTAGGAATTGGTCTTACAAGAGGTGCTTCTGTATCTAAATTATCTTCCTCCTACAAAAAAAAATTAAATCACTTACAATAAAAACGAATTAAACTAAAATAAATCTTACCTCATCAACTGGTTTACTTGGTGTAATAGACACAGTTTCATTAAACGATAAACAAGCACAATAATGACGGTTTGCGTCTATATCTGTAAGAACAGACACGAAAAATCGCGGTTCTTGTCTCTCCGTGGATAAAGCCCATCCTTGAGGCTGACAAAACTAAATAATTTTACTTTATTTATGATAATACAGAAAAAAAAAATCAAATCTTACCCATTCTATACCCTCAATGAATGGAGTATCACCCCAATCTTTCTCAGGAAACCTTTGCAAAATAATCCCACTGCTTATTCCACTACCTAAAACAAACTCTCAAAACACTTTTAAAAAACTACAAAAAAAAAAACTTACGCTCCTTTTCGTGATCATAACCAACGACAACAAAATAATCTGCCAAACGTGACATTCTGCACCAAATTATCGTATGCCCATCGTCGCGGGGCGAACATTGTCAGATAAACTCGGGCATTGCGAGCAGCGCGCTGTCACTTTGACAGTTCCCACTATTTTTTTTTTTTGACGTTTAACCTAATTCCAATGGACTTTGGCGCGCGGACCAAATAACCGTTTACTAAAATGCTAGAAACGTTTACGAGCGTCTCTGCTCGGTCTGCGCTTCTTCGTTCGGTCTATTATTAAACGAGATAAGCCACACCCTGCTATTAATTCTCCTCTAAACAAAATATTTACGCCATTTTGACACATCCAAACGTGCTGCCCGCGTGAATGTAGCATCAAATTCGAATTTAATTGTTACCAATATTGAAAAAATAAAAAATTAATAGGTTTCGTTCCAACTGCACTTTTGATGGCTACAAGCTTGCGCAGTTGAAAAGCGCCGTTCCATCCGAACCGTGGATTAATCCGCGACAGGTTATCATGCGTTCCAAGGACCGTCGGTTCCAAATGCGTACTTGGTTCAGAGATGCCAGATGCGCAGGCTTGGAAATACCTAAATGTCTCATAAAAATTCCCTAGATTTAGGTTTTATTAAGAATAAAATTAGTTTTTCTTTTTTTCTGATTATAGGTCAAAAATTAAATAAATCATATTAAGCTGTTAATTTTAATTATCAAATATTCGTGTATTCACTTATTTCGTACTTAATTATTACGAAGAAAAGCTAATTTTCAGATAGTAACTACAGATGGTTCAAATTCGATGTCCGAATAGGCTAACTCGGAAACTATAAAAATTAGAAAAAAAGTAGCTTACATGTCATGATCTCGTTTTTCGAGAAACTGCTAATGCCGAAAACTTCAAAGCGCTATCGTCTTTTGTTTTTCCCCTAGAGGCCAAAATTGAAAATATCGTAAAATCAACAAGTGCAATTATCTTGGTTATTATTATAGGTGGAGTGTTATAACTAAGACATTATATGGACACTTTTTTACAGATTTATCAAGCGTCGTTCAACCATCACCAACTTTCTAAAGCATTCGACTTGAGTCTAGTTCTAGATCTAATGTTAGTTCTATTTCAGTAAAAATAGACAACAATTTAACGCTTAGTAACAATTAAAACTAGAACTAACACTAGACCTAGAGCTAGACCTAGAACAAACCTACAGTTCTAGGTCTAGTGTTAGTTCTAGTTTTAGTGTAATAAAAATATACAACATAGTGATATCTAGCAACATCATATTTGGACTCATTTTAATGTTTATTTTAATAAAGAATACATCATAAATGAATACCATGAAGGTGACCATTTGTCTATTATATGATAACTAACTTCAAATTTAAAATGTCAACCTCAATTTTGACATATTTGTAATGTTCATTAAAAATCCTTTAAAATAAGTACAAACACGACATATTTATCTTCAATATTAATGAAGTTATGGTCAACTTCCGGTTAGAAATGTCAACGTCAATTTTGACATATTTGTAATTGTCGTGAAAAATCCTTTAAAATGAGCCCAAACATGATACGTTTAATTCCAATATTAGTCGAAATATAAGCAACTTCCGGTTTGAAATGTCAATGTCATTTTGACAAATTCTTAATTTTTATAAAATGTCTTAAAATTTATCACAAAAACAAAAATGCAATAAAAAAAAATTTAAAATTAAGGTTGGTATTAATATTTAACAATTAAATTGGTATCTTAATTGTTGCTAATTTCGGGTTTAACGTTTTTTTATTCAATTTCTTTTTTGTTTTTTGAGATAATGACGCACTCATTTTAAAGGTTTTTTAATGAAGATGACAAATATGTCAAAATTGACGTTGACGTTTCAAACCGGAAGTCATTGTATTTCCATTAATATTAAAGTTAAATATGTCGAGTTTGGACTCGTTTTAAAGGATTTTTTATGAAGTTGACAAATATGTCAAAAGTAAAAGTTGAAAGTTCGTACTTTTTGGTTTTTTGAGATAAATACGTCAAGTTTGGTCTCACTTTAAAGGTTATTTTATAAAGATTACGAATATAATAATAAAATTAAAGTTGACATTGACACCTGAAGGTTTTTTTCACGACTAAACCCGACCTAGAACTAGAAATATTCGGGTTTAGCCGAATAAACCTAAAACTTTCTAGTTCTAGGTCTAGTGTTAGTTCTAGTTTTAATTGTTATTTAACCCTTCTAATTCTTGTACATTTTAATTGACCTAAAAATATTTTTTTTTGATTTAATCCACTTACCTTGCTTATAATTTCATCCATTTACCCATTTTGAATTAAATATAACCTTTAAATCCAATTAATTATGTGTTTTTCATTAAAAAAACTTAAATTCAACGTCAATTTTGACAAGCACCTGCAATATTTGGATCTTAATCACCATGGTAACCGAGTCAAGTTGGATAACCTAACAATAATTAAATTATAACTGTTAATATTTCGCTTTATATTTTAATATTTTTTTAATTTTATATGTATCTATATTTTTATATTTTTGTATATTGCTTCTTAAGTGAAATATCTGTAAAAATAAAAACAGAAATGTCAATTCTTCCAATGACGTCACGGCAAGGCCTTTGCGGGGGGATACGTTCATAACAACAACGTTCATATGGAGTTGGATATTCTTATACAGCATGTTTACTCAAAGGACCTTGCCTGTATAGTTGAATATTGTTAAAAAAATGAGTAAATCGTAGAAAATAGCTTCGTAGAAATGCAACTCTTTAAACAACAACTTCGCACTCTAAATTGAACACCTGTGGCGCCATCTGTTGGGGATATTTTGGAATTATTCAGCTAAGAACCGAACCACTAGAATACAGGTTGGATCGGGTTTATATATAAAACCTCCGATCACAGAATAACTGTTTGAAAAGTGTAAATTAACGTTCCGACTGGTTGGGAATCCCTTAGATGCAATTACTTATGGCAATTATACCTGTCAAATAATGCCACACATTTGAATATCACTGCATCATATGACATGTGAGATTGCATCTGTCGAGCTTCCAACAACTTATAACATTAGCTGAAACAAAGCTATAATGTCAATTATAATCTAATTATTTAATCATACCATTATTACTTTAATATACTCTTACCGAAAAATCACTTTAAAATGACGTTTTCATCTGTCATTTTGAACAAACTTCAACTTTATAATTTTAAAAGTTGAAGTTAGCTGCAAATTTAAAAATACAACACGAATTGGAATCTATACCTTTTAAATTAAAAGAATGATACTGGTAATAATTGTTATTGCTATCTCTCATCATTCCTATTATTAATAATAAAATTGTTAGTTTAATCAAATTATTTTAGTATAGACGGTAATGCCATCTTACGGTGGGATTTCGACATACAATCAGTCCCAAGTTCTCCTATCAAAGATCCCTGGGGCTAATTTGTCTTATTAATTTACGTTATTTATTTTTAAACATTAAAATAATCATATAAACTTATCTTTTATAAAGGATTTAATAATAATTTTTTGTTTTAATTCTAACAGATGTGGTGTCATCTACCGAATTATATCAAAACTCACGATGGTTCATTTAATCGTGTAAAGATGACGCTTCTAAAACATTTTATATTCAAATTTGATATTTTTTTAATTATTTTTCTCGAAGTTGATTAATATTAAATTTGTGGCAAATTTATGATGATTAATACAAAATTTGATGTAGAATTTGTTGAAGTAGCTTTAATTTGGGAAATCTAAAAATTGTAGGGAATATTTAAATTGATTACAATATATGGTGTAAGGTTCTGGGAGGGTGATTTGTTATTATTAAATCTTTTCCGGGTTCGTATGGACGTTGAGCGTCGCGCAGCGTGACGACGCCGACGCGTTTCGGGCGATTCGAGGTTCTGCGGAGGCTCACAGTGCGGCCAACAATACTAAGACGAGGACGTTGCGCGGATGCGGGGAGAGTAGACGCGAACGCGAAGTTCTATTTTCAAACGGGGCCACCTAAAGTGAGATTTTCACAGCCGGAAGTATAAAATGGAAACGATTGTTTGACTCTTAAGTGTTAAATTTTGAAGAATAAGACAAAGTTAATGTCGAAGCGGTGAGAAAAACCATTTAAAACGAAGTGATTATGGAAAGGGAAAAAACGTGATGATCCCGGGGGATGGCGGTGTGGCCCGTGTTATTGTTAGTGGCGGCTTTGGCCGTCGGGGCCCCAGATTGGACGGATTGTCCAACACCGTGCCGCTGCAAATGGTCCTCCGGGAAAAAGACAGCTTTTTGTAAAGGAGGTGCATTCAAATCAGTTCCAGATAATCTTGACGCTGAGATGCAAGTGTTAGATCTTTCATTTAACTCAATATCCAAGTTAACCCCAGATATTTTCAAAAACGCCGGATTAATTAACTTACAAAAAATTTTTATACGAGAAAGTGGATTGAAAGAGATCAATCGAGATGCTTTTCAAGATTTGATCATTTTAATTGAAGTCGATTTGAGTAATAACGATATATCAAACTTGGAACCGGGTACTTTTCATGGAAATCAAAGATTACGGGTGTTAGTATTGAACGGTAACCCCATAACGAAGCTTATATCAAAACAATTTCCTTCGTTACCCCACTTAAAAAGTTTAGAATTGGAAGGTTGTCAATTGGAAATTGTCGATAGAAACGCGTTTGTTAATCTTCACGCTTTGGAATCGTTGAATTTAAAAGGAAATAAATTGCGGAATATATCAGAAGAGGTTTTTATGAATGTGGCTCATTTAAAAACATTAACTTTAGATGGGAATCCGTGGAGGTGCGATTGCGATTTGAGAGGATTTCGAGATTGGTACCTCGCGAGTAATTTGCGGTCGATGTCTTTGGTGTGCGCGGAACCGGAACGTTATCGTAGTGAACTGTGGGAAAATGTGCAATCAGTTGATTTTGCGTGCCCACCAAAAGTTTTCGTAACCCCTTATCCCCAAGTGCAAGCGGAAGCTGGAGGTAACGTAACTTTCAGTTGCCATGTTATTGGGGATCCAGAACCACAAGTAACGTGGATGTACGAAGGAAGACCAATGAATCACACTTCGGTTATTGTTGAAGCTGAGGAAGGTTTATTGGATAAATGGGCTAATATTAGTGTATCAAATGTGAGTGATATAGACGCGGGATTATATAGTTGTGTTGCAACGAACTCGTTGGAAACGGTTAGCGGAAACGTTTCTTTGGTGTTACCTGAAATAGTAACAGCAACTACGTTAAGTAAATCCGAAACGAGAGTGATGTGGTGGATCGTTGCTTGTGGCGGCGGCGTTGTAATCATTTTGATTCTAATAATAGCATCAGCAGCCGTTTGCATAAGCACTAAAAACCGTACCCGAAGGAGAAACATGAAAGCGAGCGTTAGTTTCACAGAACAAGAAAAAAAACTTCTCGATGTTAGTATTGCTACGACTACTGACAGGGGTACCGGAAGTTGCGAAGCTCTCGGTCCCGACCTAGAACTGATAGAGCCTCCGGTTCACATCACCATTGAAAGCGAACCACTTCCTCTCGCAGTATTTCCGCCTCCACCCGAATTCTCCACCAGCGCTTTACCTGCTGGTGCTTTCGGGAATATTTTCATATCGGTTTCCGTTACCAGAGATCCGAATATGGTGGATACATCAAGATGTCCGGATCTTTTAGATCTACCCCATCGGACGAATAAACCGGTTTATCACGGTATGGCTACGTTGCCGAGAAGGCCATGTCAAGGACCACATTATGATAATATGGGCCCTAGAGTTACGGCTGGGGGCAGTTCGACTTTGTCACTTCCGGATTCTACACTGGACGTACCTCCTCCACCTTTACCACCAACCTGTCAACCGCTCACCCCCGAATTCGTCTCTCTTTAAAGGTACCTTTGGACCGAGCATAATTTTTATTATCAATATTAATTTAAAACATTTCTTTTTTAAACTTTAAATTTACTTTGAATGCTTAAATTGTTATTGAATTCGATTTGTTTATGAATTATTGGTAATTAAATGATTTTGTTATAATTTAATGTGGCTAATCTCACATTATTAACATAACTACAGGGTGGTTCAAATTCGATTTCCGAATAGGCTATCTCGGAAACTATAAGAGTTAGAAAAAAAGTAGCTTACATGTCATGATCTCGTTTTTCGAGAAACTGCTAATTCCAAAAACCTCAAAACACCAAAAATTGAAAATATCGTAAAACCAGCAAGTTTTTTACAAAAAATTTGATGACGTAATCAAAAAAAAATTTTCGGTTTTAGATTTTGAGATATTATAACAATTTTCGTTTTTTTATTCGCTTATTAAATTCGTTATTTTTTTCTGATTACAAAAATATGGGGTTATATAGGTCTATTTCTTATTGTTTTAGAATAAAGATAAAAATAATCTTTTTTTTAGTGTCGTCAAAGGAATTAAATTTACAGTTTCCTGTAAATTACGGTACGATAATTAAAAATTATTCTACTAATAATTTATATAAAATTTACTTTATTTTCGAATATGTAACATTCTAACATGTTAAACTTTTCGTAATTTTCATAATCCATCTTAAAATACAGGATTTTTAATTTGACACTTCAGAAAATTTTTGAATACAAACAAATATCGCAAAAATATATGAGCGCCATCTATCAATAATTTATTAAGTCATTTAATAATAACATTAAATATTAATAAAAAATGTGAAATAATGCAATCTATTCCAATTTTGTTGTAAAATAAATATAAATTAAATAGTTCAGCAAGTGTATTTGTTTCAAATAACAGAAATATGTTTTTTTAATTTTTAGTGGTAATTTACAGGAAACTGTAAATTTAATTTCTTTGACAACACCAAAAAAAAAATTATTTTTAGCTTTATTCTAAAACAATAAGAAATAGACCTTATATTTTTGTAATAAGACAAAAATAACGAATTTAATAAGCAATAATTAATTTAATAATTTAATAATCAGTGGTTGTTTCCATTTAAAAAAACGAAATTTGTCATGACATCTCAAAATCTAAAATCAAAAAATTTTTTTTGACTACATCAAGAAATTCTCTGTAAAAAAGTGTCCATATAATGTCATAGTTATAATACTCCACCAATAATAATAACCAAGATAATTGCACTTATTGGTTTTACGATATTTTCAATTTTGACCTCTAGGGGAAAAACAAAAGACGATAGCACTTTGAAGTTTTCGGCATTAACACTTCATCAAAAAACGAGATCATGACATGTAAGCTACTTTTTTTCTAACTCTTATAGTTTCCGAGTTAGCTTATTCGGACATCGAATTAGAACCACCCTGTAGAGTGAATTAATTAATTATCGTACCCGACGGTATCATTGCAAGTATGCAACCAATATCACAATATTGGTATTGCAATACGCGATTTGCGTATGATGCGTATTGCACTGTGATATTGGTTGCATACATATATAATTAATTAACACATTGTAGATAAGGACTGAAACGATTTCTGACGTATCTGCGACTAATTTGAATGGTGTCAAGTGGGTTCAAAAACTCTCAATTCTATTCTAAAACTTCAAAAACCATCCGTGTTATTTTAGATTCATATCTTGGAGGCGCAAGGTTAAAGAGATAATTATTATATTTTATTTGATGACCTCAAAAATGAGATAAGCGATTAATATTGAACTCGACCTAAAGGGAGATTTTGCATGAATTGAGTCAAGTTTGATGTGACATCACAATTTCGCTCTCATCTCTTACAAGTCTTTGTTATTGTTTTCTCACTATCACGGATTATGTACTCCCACAAATGCAACAAAAACATTTTGAATCGATATCGCAACGTTGCATTTTCAGCATAAACACAATCATAACGTTTCAGATATATTGAAATTGATTTCTCTAACGCTGGCGTTATCTGTTAGGTGTTATGAGAAAGGATTGATGTAAATTGGATAGAGTTTATGTTAATGATTCAATTTAGGAATAGGCTTGCGATCATAGTGATAAAAAGAAATGACATATTTATAGAAAGTTTGGCGTCACATTTTAGGGTTAGTAGTGATCAAATTGTATGTGATGATTTATTCATAAAGATAGAAATGCAATCTGCCAATTATGTTCCATAGAGGTAGCCTAATTTTTGTAATTGAAGCATAAATCTTCAAGATCGCAATATTTGTCTCAAATTTCCAAGTCTTTGTTTTCTGGTTGTTTAGCTTGCATTGCTGCTATCTGTGGGTTAAGCCAGAAAGTTTCCAGTCAGAGTTTTATTTTAAATAACATCAACTGTCAAAAACTTATAATTTCTGCTCCCTTCAAGATTTTGAAAAAAATCTTCTGGATTTCGTTGTTTGTCTATTTTTGAAAATAATCCTAAGATTTTCCAGGTTTTGGAAATACCCCTCCAATTTTGGAAAGAAAAATAGATTCTGCTGTTTTCTGCTGGAGTTCTGATGGTCCAAATTCAATTTTTTTTATAGAGCTAACATTTTCTTTTGGCACAAAGTAACCTTGATGCTTCAAACTTTCAGGTTTTAGAAAGAATTTTGGGAAAATTGTTTCTTCAAAATTTTGGTTATGATTGTATCTCCTTCTGCTTGGATTCTGTCGCGTCGTGTTGATTTTTGGACTTAAAAGTAGTTGTCTATCTCCTGTTCTACCACAGTTTTAGAAAAACCAATTTTCTGTAGCTTTCTGTATTCCTCAAGACCAGAACAACATTTTCTGATCAATACTAGTCATGGGAGAGGTCTCTTGTAGGTTTGGAAAAACATTCTCTGCTCGGGCACCTAATTTGTGATGATTCCTATAGGGTGCAAAAAATCTTTGGTGCTTCTTTTGACAGTATTGTAATTGATGTAGTAAAAATCGCAGATTTTGGACAAAAAATGGCTTCATCCTGCAAAAGCTGTTTACGGCATAGCATTTCCAATAGAAACGCGTCAAAAACTCTTTATAGTTATTATATAAATTTTCCATCATTTTGGCACAAAATAAACTTGATACTTCAAACCTCCAGCTTGTGTTTCTTCAAAATTTTGGTTGTGATGGTCATTTATGTTCCATAGAGGCAGCCTAATTTTTGTAATTGAAACATATATCTTCAAGGTTGCAATATTTGTCTTCTTGGTTGCTTAGCTTGCATTGCTGCTATCTTTGGGTTATGCCTGGAAGTTTCCAGTTTTAGTTTGCTGTCAAAAACTTAAAGCTTATAATCTCTGCTCCCTTCTAGATTTTGAAAAAAATGTTCTCTTCTTGGACACCTAATTGATTGACTTCTATTTCGCCTCTAAACAGATTTGATGTAACCTGGAGTGAGAATTTTTATAAAAATAGTTTCTGAACACTCTTGGATTTGTTGGGTTAATAGTTGTTTGTCGATTTTTGAAAGTAACTTTAAGATATTCCAGGTTTTGGAAATACCTCTCCAATTTTGGAAAGAAAAACAGATTCTGTTGTTTTCTGCTTGAGTTCTGATAGTTCGAATTCAATTTTTTTTATAGAACTAACATTTTCTTTTGGCACGAAGTAACCTTGATGCTTTAAACCTCCAGGTTGGGTTGGTTCAAAATTTTGGTTGTGATGGTCCCTTCTGGACGCCAAGTTTCTTATAGAGCTAACATCTGTTGCACCTAAAATCGTGGGTATGATCCCCACTGACGGAAATTTGCTGTATGCTCCTCAACTCCCTAACCTGCCTTGCCAGCATGGGATTTTAAAGCAAATACACCTTCTCTGGTCCGGAGTTTATTTCACCAAGTAATCCCGTTGTATCTCCTTCTGCTTGTATTGTGCCGCTTCGTGCTGATTTCTTGGACTTAAAAGTCAATCTTTTGGTCTATCTCCTGTTTTACTGCAATTTTGGAAAAACCCATCCTTTGTAGCTTTGCGTTTCCTAAAGCCAGAAAAACATTTCATGATCAGTACATTTCAGTACATCAATAAATATCCTTATTATTTTTATTATTATTAGTCATGGGAGAGGTCTCTTGTAATTTTGGAAAAACATTCTCTGCTCGGGCGCCTAATTTGTGACGATTCCTATGGGGTGCAAAAAAAATCTTTGGTCCTATTTTTGACAGTATGGAATTGATGTAGTTAAAACCGCAGATTTTGGACAAAAAATCCCTTCATCCTGCAAAAGCTGTTTATAAAAGCATTTCCAATAAAATCGCGTCAAAAATTCTTTATAGTCTTATATAAATTTTTAATCGTTGTGCAAAAACTTGATGACTTTAGCATTGTTTGACATGGTAAACCCAAGACTACTCTCCCGTGGGTGAATGAGTTGGGATGGCTTATTACTGCCATTAGGTTATGAGGAAATTGGCTTTGCTCATTCTTGCTATTGGACAAGTTTTTAGACAAACAGTTTGTGTTTTAGGTTCGGTTGGAATAACTTACCATAATAGATCAGAATAGCTCTGCTCAATCACAAAATCTTTTCTGCTATCACCTTCTTACTATCTGCTGGTTTTAGAAAAGCAATCCTTTCTGTCTTCTGGTTGGGTTAAGTTCGGTTGGATTTCGTTTACAACCACCTGAAGTGACTACAAATGAAGTAAAGTTCCAAGTTGTGCAAGAGATATTGCACTTTCCCCATCACTTGTAATTGAAGCCTGAAGACGATCCTCGAATGTACAGGGTGGTTCAAATTCAATGTCCGAATAGGCTAACTCGGAAACTATAAGAGTTAGAAAAAAAGTAGCGAGAAACTGTAATGCCGAAAACTTTTTCTCCTAGAAGCCAAAACTGAAAATATCGTAAAACCAACAAGTGCAATTATGATTATTCGCTTATTAAATTCGTTATTTTTTTTTATTAAAAAAATATAGGGTTTGACAGGTCTATTTTTTATTGTTTTAGAATAAAGCTAAAAATAAACTTATTTTTAGTGTTGTCAAAGAAATTAAATTTACAGTTTCCTGTAAATTATAACTAAAAATTAAAAAAAAATATTTTTGATATTTGAAACAAATACATTTGTTGAAGTATTTAATTTATATTTGTTTTAGACCAAAATTGGAATAGATTGCATTATTTCACATTTTTTATTAATATTTAATATCATTATTAAATGACTTAATAAATTATTGATAGATGGCGCTCATTTTTTTATTTGCAATATTTGTTTGTATTCAAAAATTTTCTG